AAAAAAAAAAAAAAAAAAAAAAAAAAAATTATCCAGGGTAAACTTTAACAGTGCTGTGGTTAAAAAATGGATACACAGGTTCTCACTGATTCTCAATATCACACAGCTATTTATTGAAGAAACAAAGCAATTTATCATAAAAATATTCACATAGCTATATCCTCCTGATTATATTCCCAGGTTATCATTCTTTATGTTGTATAAACTGGTAGTTTGGTCTATGCCTGATCAGACTGAGGCTTTGATTTTGTATTTTTAAAGTGGGAGAAAAAAAGCTACTACTTGCAGTGATGTACTTTTTCATTAGGAAACACAGCTGGTTGTATTATTTTTAGATATTAGCAGCCACTGATGTCCAATACCTAGCCTAATAGTTGATCAAGGGTTGCAAAATGGCCATAGCTCAATTCTAACATTCCTTCATTTATGACCAATTTTTACAATTATGTTAACAGTCAATGTTACAATAAATACAATTTCCCCTCAACTCTTAAATTATCCTAGGAAAAACTTCTACAAATGACATACATATGTCATAGGGTATGACTATATTTCTAATAATGTCTACTAATAGTGATTACAAAGTATCATTTATTTTTAAATGTGGATTCCTTTAAATATTAGCCAGGTTAAATGATTTCAGGTATTTTATTATTAATATTCCCTTTTGTATAATAAAGGTATTAGAATTTAATGGTTAACTGGTACTATTTCAGTAGTGATTTGTCATGACGTTTCTCTTCATTATTATTCTCTTTTTTAACCAGGACTATTGCTTTAAAAATGTACTTTCTACTCTTGAAATAAAATCTGGAGCTCTACAATATTTCAAGATTAGACTCATCAATATTTTAAAATTATTTAAATTAGGATTCTACTTATTCTGGTAAGTTACTCTTTACTCTCACATGTGCTTTTTCCTTTCCTTGCCTCCATTGTCCATATTTGTTAATATAACTCAAGGTTTTGATGAATTTTATTCCTCCCTTTTGGGCTTATTTTAATTTTCTCATTAAAAAGAATTACTTTGAACAGAATGCTTTAATAATTCAGGATTTCAGGTTCCTGAAATGTCACATATTGAATGAACAATGTCTCTTAATTATAACATTTTTAAAATGATGGCACCATGTAAACATCCATAAAATTTAATGTCTTTCAACTCTGTAGTTTTCAACTTTATTTTACACACACATACAAAATCCCTAAACCAATGTTGCAGAGGAACAATATGTCTCCAATGGGGAATGAAACAAGGAGTGAGAAAGACTGAATGACTCACCTTAAATCGCATTATAACTTTAGTCAGTAATGTTACTTAGTACTTACAGAGCCAATAATCCTGACTTTACTACTAAACTGCTTCAGTGACTACTGAAGTCTCCTAGCTTGTTTCTCAACTGCATGATCAGAGAAATAAGGAATAAGACCTAATCTATATAATCCACTTCAGCTCTAAAATTCTAACACTTTGTTTTTTTTTTTTTTTGGTACCAGGGATTGAACTCGGGTCCTTGTGCTTGCGAGGCAGGCACCGGAACCACTGAGCTAAATCCCCGGCCCCTCTAACGCTTTGTTTGCAAGCCTATATACTAAGATTCCTTTAAGTAAAAATCATTCCTTAAACCTCTGAATCTGAAGGCTACAGCACTGTGCATAAAAAAAGGTACTTTTAAAGAACCACTGGTTGGTTGCCTCTAAATTCAGTTAACAAAAAACAATTTCTATGCAGTTCAGTAAGATTTCATTACTAAGGAAATAACATTTTAATGCCTCATCAAATCCAAAAACTCAGAGTTGTACCTAGAGCAAAACATACATGGAGAAATATACGCACCAGTATATCTTCACCAACATGCTGCTTTCCCTTTTCTTCATAGGGTCCTAATATCAATTTCCCAGTAGAAAAAAGGGGTGTGTCCAATGTTTTATATACTTTTAACTTGCCATGCTCAACAAAAAATTGGTATGTATCTCGTGGCCTTATAAGATCTAAGGAAAATATAGTAACATAAAGATAAACCAATATATTCAATGATATATGCAAACATATATAAAATAGTGTTTTCTAGATATAAGACCTATTTTACAAATTAAACAAGACCATTGATTTTGGAACTGGAATGCCAGAGATCAAATCTTGCCTCTTTCTTACTATTTGATCTTAGTAAGTTACTTAAGCTCTTTCTGTATAAAATTTCCTTTTCTTTTTTTTTTTTCTGTTACTGGGAATCAAATTCAGAACCTTATGCTTGCACAGCAGGCAGTGGCACCACTGAACTAAATCCCCGGCCCTAAAATTCCCTTTTCTTAAAAAGAGTTAATCTGTGTTACCATGAATATCTAGGCATTAATATATTAAAATAATCTGACACAAAGTAAGCACTATGTTATAGTCTTATAATTTAAGAGCATTATTATTATTTATCTATGTGGCTCAGATGGAAAATAAGATTAGCTGAGACACAAGAGAGAATTCCATGTCCTGAAAAGTTTAACATAGCCCACAACACAAATGACAATAGATGTTCTGCTGGTCAGATTGATAATTAAATAACAAGATTTTTATTCATGAAGTAAAGCTACAAAAAACTACAGTTCTATTAGAAATTATGATCTCAATGTTCAAAAAAAACTTCCTTATATCTTCTAAACCTTTGTCAGCTTCTAACTCCATTTTACTGTATATTGGGGAATGTTAGTTATCTCACAGACAAAGAATATTTAAAAATGCATAGATTTTTTTAAACAGACAAAAAGTTAATTTCTAACAACACTCACAAATGTTTTAACCTGGTAGATAACAGTATTTTTACACTAATTAAAACTATACTTCTACCTCCGTTGCCAATATAATCTCAATAGAGAAATAACTTTGTTATCCAGCTGTGGTGGGGCAAGCCTGTAATCCCAGCACTCGGGAGGCTGAGGCAGGAGGATCACTGCAGGTTCCAGGCCAGCCTGGACTACATAGCAAAATCCTGTCTCAGAAAAAAAGGAAGGAAGAAAAGAAGGAAGGGAGGGGGAAAGGAAGAAAAGCGTTGCTAAGATGTTAAGATGTCATACTGAATTTATTACAGACAAAATGTTAAGTGGGAATACTATTAGTCTTCCTCATTTGACCTACTTATCCTTTCACTCAGTTAAACAGTCCTCAGTTAAACAGTACTGACTGGTAGAGTCGTCCAAGATGTTATTTACCTATTTCCTGTATGTAAATACTGCCTGGTTGGTTAATTCTTGAGGCTATCCCCCATAACCCATCTTTGTCCTCCTATGGCTTTCCAGAAACTAAAGTTTAATGCCTATGTAATCCAGGGGAAGGCTTCTGGGACCCTGAACCACCCATAAAGTTAAGATGAGGCTGGCATCTGTACAGCTGATTGATGCCCTTGACAGACATCCTCACAAAGATTTCACATCCCAAGTACTATCACTAGAACCTACAGGCAAAGAATATTGCTTATGCTCTGCCTCCAATCTCTGCCTGGCCCACAATAAGAGTACATCCTGAATTCTGCCAGCTAACCTGCCTTTGTGTGTCCTCCTGACCCAAGAAAGCCTGGACCCTTCAAGGAGACACAACGCTCCTAATGGTAATAGTAGCGTTTGTAGTCCAATGGACAAATGTATAACCGCATATGTCCCTGCAAGTTATCTGCCCTCCTTACTCCCCAGAGTCATCTTCACATAGCCTATTTACTGGAATGGGATGTAACTGCTGAAAAAGCTGGAGAAAGAGAAAGGATGCAAGTCAATCATCAAGTCAATAGTTTGTTTTGACTCTCTGCTAAATTAAGTATTTTCAGAATCATTCCTGATCTTACCCATGAAAATAATCTCTCTTGTTTCTGGGTCCTTTACTTGAGTTGGCTGGAAAGGATCTCCTAAGGGTATTCCCAGATTTACCACTAATTTACTTTCTGCAAAAGAAATATCAGTAAAATACAAACTGCTTAAAATTCTTCTCAATCATAAAAAAGTCCAGCACAAAACACGGCTATAGACAAGTCATAGTAGAAAACTGCCAGAGACATGACAATCTCTTGTTTATATACAACCAATAAACAAATCAGAATTAAAAACACACACACAACGATTTAACATAGATGCAAACAACCTAAACTTCCAATTTTTTATACGGCCACTATAACATGTCAAATCTTAAACTCATGCATCATCAAAAGGGTAAATAATGTCCTGCATGTTCCCTAAAACAGCTGGAATTATGCAATGCACTGCAGGAAGAATTCATTAAAATATTATAAACACAGTTTGGGCATGGAAGTTGATCATATCTTGAGTAATTTAGTAAAAATGCTTCATACAACACTACTAATGTTAAAGAATAAAATTAGCTCACTTTCAAAATTTGAAAAGAAATGCACATTAAAAAGTAAATTTTACCTATAGTATTATGACTGAAATTTTTAGAGATAAATTTCAAACTCGGGAAAGGGCTTCTTTTCAAAGTACTATATTATTTAAAATAAAATCTACAAGTTACTTTCAGGAATAAGTTCATACTTTTTTCAACGTTATCGAGACAGATCCTTTTCCTATTATCTATTTTGTTGTCTTTTCCCACGTTTCCTTTTGCCTTCCGTTTAGATATTACTGTTTCTGGGGATAGTATTCCACCAATCACAAGTCCTCCTGAAATACAACAACAAAAAAGATACAATATATCTGGGAAGGTAAAAAGCCTAAAACAAAACTCTTTAATTAATGTACATTTCCTTTCAAAGTACCAAAGAAATATTACTGTTACTATATTCTATAGCTAGTAATTCAAGTAAAAAATAATAACCGAGGGGCCGGGGATTTAACTCAGTGGCACCACACCTGCCTTGCAAGCACAAGGTTGTGATTTCAAACCCTGTTATAAAAAAAAGATTTCATTTGTATCTCTTTCACCTTAAATCTGCAACTATTAATAGAAATATGATTTATCTCTGAAATTGCCTAAAGTCAAGAGTCATCAGGGGAGGGTTTTTTAAAAAGGCAACTATGCATGATGAAGCATCAGTAATATAAGCCACATGTGAGTGTCCTCTGGTTTAGCTATATTCATCAAAGGCAGGCAATAACTTTAAGAGAAAACTATACTTCCTTCCTTGCCCACCCTTATCATTCTGCAGGAAAATGAGAAAATTGTTCATAAGAATAATGAATAATTTTTTCATGTTTTAACTTAATCTTTATTCAATTAGAAACCTTGTCAGATAATATTAAAATATTACAAAGCTACAGTCAAATAGCTTCCGAAGAGGAAGAGAGGAAGATCAGCACATATACTATAGTAGTCAGACAAATCTGGATTTGAGTTTCATCACAGTTTGAGGGTGATAACTAAATGCAGTAGTACAGGTAAATGTGAAGGACAGCGCCTGGTATATGGTGAGCAAAAATAAATTATAGCAACCTTATTTTTTAATTAGGCATTATAGTATAAATTAGATTTTACCTGATGGTGTTTCTTGATAATCTACTCGTTCTCCTCGCCAGTATTCCAAAGGTTTTGAACGTATTCTCTTGGTCCTGCGAACATTTGGTGTGTTGGAGGGTAATACTGTAAAAAGATGGCAGGTGAAAATGTATATATATAAATGTTTAGCTGTATAATACTCAGTGGAAAGATAGTTTTAGAACATGAATGCTTCCAGACAAAAGAGTAGAAAAATTTTGTGCTAATAATTTTTTTTTAAAAAAGGAAAATTTAGGCCTCTAGATTGGCAAATACATGAAATTTGATAAAACCCAGGGGTGACAATGTTCAAAGTACTCCCCTCTCACCTAAACAATGTTAAATTCCATATATTAGTTTGTTAGCTATATTATGAAATTCCTCTGTCCTTATCTATTTTGCTTGCTAGTGCTGATTCTAAAAGTGGTTTATTAAAAATCTCCATCCTAATCATCGTTTTAATAAAAATCCTCCTGCTTTTTCTATTTATTCTTTTCCTTATGAATGTTAATTGCTTTCTATCTTCTTTATAAATTGCTCACTTCATTTTATGTCCATCATTACCATATTCATCAGTTTTAATCTTAAATTCTACTTTGTCTAATATTAAAACTACACTTTTGGCCGGGTGTGGTGGCGCACGCCTGTAATCCCAGCACTCGGGAGGCTGAGGCAGGAGGATCGCTGCGAGTTCAAGACCAGCCTGGGCTACATAGTGAGTTCCAAGTGAGTCTCTACTACATAGTGAGACCCTGTCTCAAAACAACAAAAAAACAAAACAAACAAACAAAAAAACACTGCACTTTCTTTGGGTTTACATTAGCCCAGCTAATTCTTTAATAATAATTTTAAGTGCTTTTTAATTCGCCTGTCGCCTGTAATCCCAGCACTCGGGAGGCTGAGGCAGGAGGATCGCTGCGAGTTCAAGACCAGCCTGGGCTACATAGTGAGTTCCAAGTGAGTCTCTACTACATAGTGAGACCCTGTCTCAAAACAACAAAAAAACAAAACAAACAAACAAAAAAACACTGCACTTTCTTTGGGTTTACATTAGCCCAGCTAATTCTTTAATAATAATTTTAAGTGCTTTTTAATAAATATAGATTGATTTGTATTACTTAACTAAATCCAAAATCTCTAACTTATCAGAGGAATTCAGTCCACTCACATTTACTGAGTATAACAACATGTTTCCCTTTCAACAAGTTTTCTTTCTCTTCACTTGTATTGGTTAAATAACCAAATTTTTCTCCAGTCTCTTCTTGGCCATTTCAACAATTTGTTCTGTTTTCACTCTACTATTGGTTACTTTTCTATTCCTGACACTCAAAAACCAAACTCTCAGGCCAGGCCAGATTTAGCTCAGTGGTGCTGCACCTGCCTTGAAAGCACAAGGTCCTGAGTTCGATCCCCGGTGCCAAAAAAAAAAAGTTTTTTAAATAAATAAATAAACACCCTCTCATTTCTCCATGATTATGTCAAAGTGATAGCCCTAAGGATGAGGATGTAGTCCAGTGATAAGAGCATGCACCAGTATGTGCAAGGCCATAGGTCCAATCACCAACACCACAATCAAAAGCACCAAAAAGCATAAAACAAAAACTCTTCTTGAGCCACTTGATCCTCTCCATTTAGAACTCCTTCCTTACCCCCCTTATTCCCTACTTCCTCCCCTCATATCAAGTTGTGTGAAGTACTCTATACATTACAAAGTATTGCTACACAACCTTTACTTAAGCACTTACAAAGCTGTAATCCTATTAGCAGCATGTGGCAGACACAGCCTAAGTCATGGGCACTGAATTACACCCTTATATAAGCCCCTCAACAGAGTGCAGGTAGGACCATCAACTCATTCTAATCAACAAACTATGTCAATGGTAATGGCGTCATTTCTGAGTTTGCATCACATTATACACAGAAGCTTTCTAGATAACATGGAAAGCCACTCCAATATCACACGAAGGTGAAAGACTCCCCGAAACCTGACTAGAAAGTGTCTTTTGGTAAAACATGGATTTTTAACCCTCTCATCGATCTGTTTAGGGTTCCACTGCTTATTGTTTTACCTACTTGCCATTCTAGGTATCTACAGCCCTACTCAGAAGTGACCTGCATGAAGGTGGAAGAAAACATACACACACCTAGCAGTTCTATTTTTATTTGAGAGAATTCTCTACCCTAACATCTTTGCTTAGATGAGATCTACCATGGGCCATAGCAACAGGACTGACTGAAAGTAGACAAGAGACTGACATAATAGTTTGTGACAATTTACTGTGAAATACATATGAACAAGTATGTAATTTTACATATGTAATTTTACTTCATCAATCCAAATAACATTATTTCCTCTACTAAAGGAAAATTAAGTCAAATTTTAGAGATTTAATAGCATTTGCTTCAATGAAAACATTACAAGAAAAATATAAGAGAAATTATAAATTAATTATTTACCTAATTTATGATGCATTTCATTCCTTGATGCCACTTTGTATCTTTTTACTCTCAAATCGTCTGCAAAATACAAAAGATGATATCGTGAGAGGTAGATATTAATTCCATGCTGACTTAAAGTTCTTATTTGCCCAACTTCAGTAAAAGACTTTTAAATAATATGTGACCCGACAATATGTTTCATTGTTAATTTTTTCAAAGTAAAGGAATAAAAACTAAGAAAAATAGTGAAAGCAGACCTCATTTCCTTCTTGAATCTCTGCTGACCTTAGTGATTTGTTTGAGTAACAGAATGTAACAAAAATGACTTTCTGGTCCTTCCAAGGCTAAGTCCTAAAACCTAGTGAGATATGTGTATCCCAACAAGGATCTCACTTTGGAGGAAGACAACAGCAATATATGAAGATTTACAACCCCAGACTGACATGCTGTGATGATCCAAGATGAACCCATGGAAGGGCCTGTGAAGGAAAAGATACGCTTGACCGTCCTCACCTCCCAGGAGGTACCATATACAGAAGGGAAGAAGTCAACTTGGATGTCCAGCCCAGCTGAAGATTCAGATGACTCGTTAGTCCTGTAGCTTTCATCTAACTATAAAATTATAAAAGCACCCCAAGTAAGAAGCACCTAGCCAAATCAAGTCAATGTATAGAACCATACAAGATAAATCAATACAGTCATATTAAAACAGTAAGTTTTGGGCAGGTTAGGTATTCAACAATATGTAAATAGAAACCCTCATGTCTAGGAAGCAGCTATGTTGCATGTAATATATTTATTTTCCTGAAAAGTTGGCCCGAATTTTCATCATATTCTCAAAGGAGACTGTGAAAGCAAACATTGCTAAGAACAACTGAATTAAATATAAAGTTGCTGGTTTGGCAGAAACTTTGGAAATCATAAAATCAAATTCCTCTGTCAAAAACAGGTTAAGTATGTAAAGTGTAGAGAGTGGTTTCCAAGGATTACGGAGAAAAAAATAAAAAATGGCTGCTAAAGGGTATGAGGTTTCTTTGGGTTGGTAATAAAAAATGTTCTATGATGACTGCATACTACACTCTTGTACACTATAAAAAAGTTGATCGCGTTTATGAAGTCCATCTCAATACAGTTGGTTACACCTCCTTCCCCATAATCAAATTTCCCATGCAGTCTCCGTTAGAACAAGTACAGGTCTCACCTTTGTTGAAAACTTTCTCATAGCAGTGGGCCTTGGAGGCAGCTGGCAGAGTTCAGAAGGAACGAAACAAAAAAGTAAACTGAGGATGAAAGCCAGTTTTCTCATTATTTAGAAGAGCATTACAAAAACAGAAAAGCCTGTGTTGTAGTGGAACTTCAGGAATTAATGTGAATTCACAGTTCTAAATTTAAATACAGATATAGATACAGAGGCCCACAGCACATATGGGGTGTATGTATCTGTATCCTGTTTCTATATACTAGGAGTATTCTGGTAACAAGGAGCACTGAAAACCCAGATCTAGGATTTTTAACGCCATCTTTCACTAAAAAGAACCAGATTTCTTAAGAGAAATAATTTATTCCAGAGGTGGGGCAGGAGAAATAATTTGGAATATTTTATGCGCCCCCACAAAACAAGATGGTATTCACAGAATGACAGAATCATGACAAAGGCACACACAGTTCAGTTGAACCCCAAACAGACAGCTAGCTCCATAAACAGTTTGAGAATCAGGCTGCATGATAGATTACAATCCCATAGAGTAAAATATGAAACCTGTCATCTATTCAGATACACATAAATGAATAAGTAATGAATAAACAGGGAAGGGTGGGAAACTCTTACAGTAGTCTGCCATCTAATTAGTGGAGAAGAAATTAAGAGAAAATAACTTACTAATATCATTAATGGCTGATAACTCAAGTGGGAGTCTTCAACAGATGCTAAGGTTGGTGAAGGGAGGTTTGATAAGGAACAGATTATATTGTTGAAATAGTACCAGAGTATCATTCCACAAAAATTACAGAAAGAAAAATGGTTATTTGTTTTGTGATACTGGGAATTAAATTAAGACCTTCCAAATGTAGTTTTGTTCATGTCCTTTAAAAAAGTCTAAAGAAAGGACACAAACCATCAGAATAATATTAAGGTTAACGTGTCCAAATACACATATCCTTTAAAACTGGATATGTTGTACAATATTTTCTAACAATATTGTCAATTAGATTTTCTCTTCCACAAAAAAAACAAAGAAACAAACAAAAAATCCACATATCCATTCCTTTTCCCCAAGTGTGCGTTTTCTGTAATAGTCTCCAAATCAGGTACGCCAATGCCATTTCCCAAGCCATCCCTGGATCCTCTTTCCCCCACACTCCACACCCATCCGTCAGGAAATTCTGCTGACTTTTATCTCTAAAAACTCCTGAAACTCCCCTCTGCTTTCTCCATCTTCTATTGTAACCTACCTGATCCAAAGCACTAGCTCTCACTACAATTATTCCAAAGTCTCACCAAGCAATCTGCCTGCTTCCCAACTTCCTGGTCTCTCTCAACCCTACTAATCCACTCCTAACAGTAGCTGTAGTGACTCTGTTACTACAAGTTAGATTGTTTCTTTTCTCTGCTCAAAACCCTCCAATGGCTTCCCATGTCTCTTAGCAAAGCCAAAATTCCTTACAACTTATGACCTGTGAGTGATTCTGAACCTCTGCCACATTATCTCCTGGTACTCTTTTCCTCTGCTCAATGAGCTGGACAGCGTGGTGTTCCTTGACCGGGACAGATTATTGCCACATCAGAACCTTTGCCCTTAATCTTTCCTCTAGGACACTATGTACTCAAACAACTGCATTGTTTGCTTCCTCAGCTAGTTCATATCTTCACTCCAATGATCCAACTCTCCACTGAGGCCCTCTTGCCCATCTACCAAAACATATAATTTATAATTTCTTTTCCAACCCTCTATTTGCCTTCCCATGCTCAATATTCAACGTATCAAAAACTATGCTCTCTCTTCAAACTATCTGCCATCTTCTAGAAAAGGCACAATGCTTTGCCTCTCTTACCCACTGTCATATCCCTAACCCCTAAAGAAAACATAATATTCAAAAATATTTAAGAACCCCATAAATATTCAAAGTATACCTGAAAAATACATTTAGATATATATGCTAAACAAAATAATGAGCATGGTTTTTTGGGGGTTTTTTTGTTTTTGTTTTTTTTTTGGTTTTTTTTTGAGACTGTCTCACTATGCAGTTGAGACTGACCTGGAACTTCACTATGTAGCCCAGGCTGGTCTCGAACTCACAGCGATCCTCCTGCCTCAGCCTCCTGAGTGCTGGGATTAGAGGTGTGCATCACCATGCCTGGCTGTACGTATACATTTTCTAAAGACAAAATATCCTTTTCTTGAAAAATGTGGAAAAATTATAAAAAATAAGCATGTACTAGAGTGTGCATGCATACACACTCACACACGAAAAAAACTTCTTATATTTAAACAATACAGGCAAGGTTCTTCAGAATAAAATGAAACTGGAAAATATACTAAAAGAAAAAAACAAAACACAACTTCTTAGAATAACAGTCAACACTGGGAATGTAATATATAGCCAAGATACCAATCTATGGGATGGGAATTAATACCCCCACTTTACAGATAAGGAATCTGAAATTAAAAACATTGAAATTTCTTCCTCAAGATAAGATAGCTAGTAAATAGAGCTGGAGTCAATCCCTGGTCCCTGATGCTGGACACAGGAATCTTGGCTATGTACTCTTTAAGTAACCCCTAGGTCAAAGAAAAAAAAATCATTATAACTTGATAGTCCAACCACACTACATAGTAAAACCTATGAAATGAAGCCAAAATTTTATTCTGAAAAATTCATTGCTTGTTCTCTACCAAATAATATATATGGATTGACATGAGAAAAATACTAAAATCTAAAATCAGGGGGAAAAAATAACTAAAACAGGAAAAAGAATTAGTGAACCGAGGAAAGAAAAATGCAGGACTACAGATTGTATCTAAGCATACATTATTTAAGGACATGAAAAACATGAAACTCTCTATATAGAAGTCTTTAAAAATTTTAGCATGGGAAGTTTCAAAGCTATTCAAAATAAGAGAATAGAATATACTGAACCCAATACATGTACCACTCAGCTTCAGTAATCATAAACAGATGGTTAATCTTGCTTCATTTACCCTTTCATTAATATAACATTTTTAAGCACCAACATTTCTTTATGCCCTACTTAGAAGAATTGTCATTCATTTTCTTTCTCTTTCACCTACAGATCTGTTTAGTAAGTGAAGGAGTAACATATGTGCCAGCAATGAAAATTTAAAGCCGGGTGTGGTGGCGCACGCCTGTAATCTCAGCACTCAGGAGGCTGAGGCAGGAGGATCGCTGTGAGTTTGAGACCAGCCTGAGCTACATAGTGAGTTCCAGGTCAGTCTCAACTATATAGTGAGATCCTGTCTCAAAAAACCAAAAAAAGAAAGTTTAAAAAACTAAAACAGCATTTCTTACTGTATACCTATAATGCCATAAAAGACAGTAGAAAATAAAAAGTAACTTACCTAAATTTTCTTGAACTGCATTATTCACATCAGAATTATTCTTTCCAGATATTAAATAATTCTTCAGCCTAGAAGGTCCACTTAAGAAAAAAATTGTGTTTTTTATAATATCTATCTAATGTATCTAGGTTTAATGATCATTTTTCCCTAAACTGTCACAATTTTCTTTCTTATAAAACAGTGATGCTATAGATCACCAAGAATATACTTACTTGCTACCTAAACAAAGACTACAATTTAATATTACAACTGATAACCAAACATGATAAATACTAAATTTATAACATTTTAAACTAAACTCATGGATAAGTTATGTGGTCAATTCTAATGACAATAAAAATGTAATTATAGGAAAAAATGAAAACTCAGCATATCTTATTCTTACAAAAAGCTACAGCATTCACCAAACGGAATTTAAAATGTCATCCATGAATTGATGGAGATGATTCCATGTATCCCAGTCCTCTAGATCCTCTCCTCCTACTATGAATCTAAGATAGGTTTGCCCTCAAGCCTCAAATAGTAAAGAAGCCCTAATCATCACTGCAGTATTAGAATTTGCCATTCAGCCATCCATCCATCTATTCATTCTGAAAGGTTTTATAACTTCAGGTAATACACGTAGGCTAACCTGACTTGAGCATGAGTCAGCGGATGTTTTCACATTACAGCCACAGATACTTTGATATCTATCCTTTCAAGACATGGAACCTAATTCCCTCGCCTAAGAAGTAGTATGGATTTCTGATGACTTACTTCTAACAAACAGAATATAGAAGTGAGTGTACAACTTCAGAGATTAAGTTATTAAAACACACTGCAATTCCATCAGTTAACCTTTCTTCTTAGATTACTTGCTTTGTGGGAAGCCACCTGCCATATTGAGCAGCCCAATGGAAAGGACCACAGAGCAAGACACTAAGGCCTGTCGGCTATGGGAAGCAACTAGGGCCTCCAATAGCCACACAAGTGAGAAATCTTACAAAGTGGACTGTCCATTCCACTCAAACCTTCAAATGACCACAAACAACAAAGACATCTTAACTGCTACTTGCTAAGAATCCTTAAACCAGAAGTGCTAGCTAAAGCTCTTCCAAATTTCTGACCCACAGTGACCATGAAACAATGAATGTTTGGAAGCCAATAACAAAATTAAAATTGAGTTCTGGGGTAATTTATTACACAACAATGGATAATTTACTATCCTGAGTAAATCCTGTTATCCTTTGAATTCATGCATACCTTTCTTCTAAAACTGAAGTTTCAGACTCTCCAGAATCCACTGGTGCCTCTACTGGTGTCCTACATGTATCTTCACTGGTCGGAGACTTTAGATGAACATTCTCTGTGGACATAATAACATCTTGATCTTTGGAGAGTCCTGTTGTTCTATGAATATGAAAAGTTGAAAAGTCTTTATAATTCTTCAAAAATATTTCTTCAAGAAACAATACACAGGTGTGTATATAAACAATGTAACATTGGCTAGAACAAATATTAGCTGACTGTGTTCTTGACCTGAAACTTAAAACTGGCTCAGGAAGGAAAACAGATTCTAGGACCTACCAAGATTACTAATTGGAGGGGGCCAAGGATTTAACTCAGTGGTGCCACCTCCTGCCTCACAAGTGCAAGGTCCCAAATTCAATTTCCAGTACCAAAAAAAAAAAGACAGAAAAGATTACTAATTTGAAAAATTTTGATGAAGGAGATAGTGCAAATCCGGTCTAACTAAAGGAGTAATAAGGAAAGAGCAATGTGAGAGATGGCCTATAAGCAGCTTATGGTCCATTCTATTCAGTTAATCTATCATAGTTTACTGGTAAAATTGTTTTAACATTCCTAGCCAGCCTATTTGAGGGCACAGTAGAGCCTTCAAAAGGACCCAGTTAGTTCATTTTTCTGGTAGACCCTAAATATGTGAACAATTTGCCCTAAATGTATGCAAATGAAATATACTATTTCTTTTGACAGTTTAATTTTTGTAGATTTTACTGTCCTCTTGAGTCCTATACCACCAGAGTTAAAAGAAATAAAAGTGACTGTAAGAGAATGCAATGAACAACTGTATACCAACAAATATAAGACAGATGAAGTGAACAAATCCTAAAAATACACAAAAAAGTGACTCTAAAGAAATAGCCTCAAATGATCAATGATCTGGTAATCAAAAATCTCCTCACAAAGAAAAGCTCCTACTGCATTCTATCAAGCACCCAAGAATCAATATAAATTCTTCCAAAATAAAAGAAAATATTTCCCACCTCATTTTACAAAGCCATTATTATTCTTATATCAAAACTAGACAAAGCACATTGAAAGGAAAGCACACTACAGACTAAAAACCTCAACAAAGTAAAACTAGAAAACCAAATCCAATACTTCTTTTGTAGGATGGCCAGAAAAAACTAAAATTTCAGGAAATACATGGAACGTACTAGGCATCATGGTAACATACAAATGTATTTTAGGACATTCTAATCATTTATTTCAGTATATCATTAATACCTTGCTGTTTCTAGCATACAGTATTATTAATATTTTTTTAATACATGATGTAAGAAAAAGCAAGAACACATAAAAAGTAGTATTAGCTCAACGGGATTGTTAGGATCGATGATATATGTATGGTATATAGTATAAAAATGTTAACTATTAAGAGGAAAATTACTGAGATTGGTTCCTAATTACTAATCAGAAATTAATCTCATTAATCACAATGATTTCATTTTAAAAAGAAATTTGAACATTATACTTTAAAAATAACAACAATAAATTTTATGTCTGCATCTTATACAATTTTTTTTTATTTTTTATTTTTATTTTTTTGGTACCGGAGATCGAACTCAGGTCCTTGCACTGGCAAGGCAGGCAGTGGAACCACTGAGCTAAATCCTCAGCCCTACAATTTTTTTTTTAAAAGGAAGCAACTCAGACAACAATGCTTAATACTCACAATCTTATGTGCTATATATTATCCCCATTTTAATATGTAGTTTAGAGTAGTACTTTGCTTAAGTGCCACTCAGCTAATGGCAGAGTCTGGATTTAGTAACAGTTATATCACACTGCAGAGTCTTTCGTGCTAATATTCTCAGTAAATGATTAAATAACAGACGAGCTCCTAAATGCTAAACAACAAAAATAACTATACTGAACACATAATAAACATTACCTGGAACAATCAAGGTTTTTTTTCTTAATCAGGTCTATCTGGGCATTTTCCAATGGCTCATTCTGCGGACAACTGGAAACTTCATCAAGGTCAAAAATACTTCGAGAACCTTTAACATTTAAAAGCTTTTGTACTCTTGAGTTGCCTTGAGTAGATGCCTTCTGTCTTTTTGATAGAATAGTTTTTTTCACAATTTTCTTAGATGACTGATTTGTTTTCTTAGCAGGTTCTTGCCTAGTGCTGTGATACACCGATACATCATTTTTTACTGAATTGCTATGAACAGGACCTGGAGAATTCAATGATAAATTGAAGTTACTGTATTTGTCCAGATGATCTGGGTCACTGAATAACATCATTTATTCATGAATTTAATTTGTTCTACGATTTTGGAAGATGGGCACATTTGTGTTCGTGTGGGAAAGGTGGCCACAGTTGTTTGTCACCTAATGCAGTTTGCAAACAAAAAATTTGTGAGACACTCCTGCTGGTGAACCACACTGTTTGCAAACAAAAGCGTTTATGAAACGAAGCATCACCACTTACAAATACATACACACAGGCCAATCACAGGTAAATGTTTTCACTTTAAATTTGTTAAAAATTCTTTAAATTCATAGAGAAATGCACCAGACCCTTTAAATCTATAAGCTTCTCAAACAAACCTCTCTGACTTTACCCACTACTCTTCTGTTCATCCTTAAGATCCTAGTATTCCTCAAGGTTCTAGCTTCAACTTTTCACCTCATGTACGGTCTTTGGGGGACCCGTCTACTAATGAATAGCTTTAATTAATATTTATATGCCATACAAATTGACATCCACCCATCACTCTTTCCTAAATCTGTCTTCACTTGCTTTACTTCTAACCTTAATGAAAAGTAAAACTATCCAGACGCCTAAATCAGAAGTCTGAATCATCCCAGACGCTTGCTCCTACTCACAGATCAATCCTTAATTGCTTTCAGTCCTACTTCTCAACTGTGCTTTCACACTCTTCTGCCATCAAGCACTTAATAAATGTATATTTATATATAACAGAAGGGCGGCAGTGCCACATATGTATGACATGCACTTTAAGGAAAAGTGATGGTATTTTTCTGGACTTGAGACTTCAGTTTCTTTTTCCATCAGCTGAAGGAGTTTGGACTATATAAACTATGAGCATTCCTCTACTTTTGTGACTTTTAACTTGATCAGAAATCCAACATATATTTCAGGACTGTTATAGATGACTTTTTTTTTGCTAAGTTTCAGAGTTACGATTTTTATTACCCATATGTTTACATTTATCTACCACAGTACAGTGTTTCAGGCAACCTGGAGAAGAAAAGTGAGCTCCCCAAAGCAGTAACAGTAGTGCTAGTTAACATGTTGATCGACTATGTATATCAATGGCATGTAATCCTTATAAAAACTCAAAGGAAAAGGACTGTATGCTATACAGTGAAAAACTAAAGAAAAAATTACTCATAATTAGTCATAATTTGAACTCAGATTTGACTCCAAAATCCAAGGAGACCGGCAGAAGTAATAAATGCTATCAATCAAGGACGCCAATAATTTAACAATTGTTCCTATACACAATTCATAACAAGCCCTCACATATCTAGTGCCATATTTGTACTAGTCTCTTATTGCTTATCTGAAGTTCTCAATATACCCATTTTGTTATGTAACATATAAAAGCCTGAAATTTTTCAATCTTTCCCAAATCTTTTTCTCTCAAAAATAAGCAAACATCCAGGCAAACAAACACATAAGCATATTCCGGTAATCCCAGCACTTGGGAGGCTGAAGCAGAAATTGCTTGAGTTTAAGGCCACCTGGGCTACATAAGTGACCAAGGCCAGCCTGAACTACATAATGAGACCCTATCTCAAAAAATAAAAACAAACAAACCTGAGTGATTTCAGGATACTGTCTCTCTCTCCTTCCAACCCATTAGTACTCCCTCCTTTTACACTCTTCAAAAAATCCTGATTCTAATTATTACTATCTATTGCCTTCACCAACCTTCTAAAACGAGTTACCACGCTTCCATTTTTGCCCAGCCTGACATTCCTTTCTTCATTGAAGCTACCAACTCTTCATCATGATCTGCCTGTCAGAATTTATCTTCTGATTCACTGTGCTCAAGCCACACTGGTCTTCTCCATTAGTACATTCACAAATACTGTTGCCTTGGTTATGGAGTGCTCCACTGTTAGCTGTTTGTAAGGCTCCCTCCTTACCGTATTCATATATGAGCTCTGAAACATCGTAACAGGCTATCATACTACCTATTATAAAAATAATATCCCACTCTATCCTCCTGTCCATCCCACCCTTGGTGTCCCCTTCCCTCTCTCCATTATTTTATTTTCCTTATTATCTAGCAGCACATGAATTACATATCTATATTGTCTTCTCCCACTAGAATGTAAGTTCCATGAGAGCAAGGACTTTTCGGTTTTGAGTTTCTTTTTCCACTACAATAGCTGTACCCAGAACACTATATGTGCACCTAGTAACTTCCTTACAATTGATTTAATATTTCTCTTGATGACTAATTTAATTCTTTTTTTTTTTTTTGGTACCGGGGATAAAAGTCAGGTCCTTGCACTTGCGCGGCAGGCAGCGGAACCACTGAGCCAAATTCCCAGCCCTAATTTAATTCTATCCTCATGAGATTTTTCTGTATTAATAGCAATGTAAGTCAAACATAAACTTGTTCTAAAATGATTTTTTGCGACCACTCAACAGACACAATTTAAGTAATACTTACTTTCCTCTGCATTTACCACCCACCAATCAGATGGACGCCTGGAAATTCTGTGACTTCTTGTGACAGTTGAAGTTATTTCTTCAGGTACAATTTTTTTCCTCTTAGACTCACTGGAAAAATGCTTCTTTCTGGATTCTTTCTTGTCTTTTTTGGTGCTACATTTTGTTTTCATATGTTCTATAACAAAGAAAAAAGTCTAAATTTGAGAAAATTTAAAATTTCAATGAGTTGTCAAAAAAATCACAGAAGATTTAAAAAATAAGACTCTCAACTGTAGGAACTTTAAAAATTCATTGTGCAGGATTCTTTATGTCTCTCTTTTTTTTAAAGTCACATATTTTCAAAGACTTCTAATTTTCTGTCAATTAAATGCAAACTTTTTAAGTTGTTTGATAACTCACCTATGACTAAAATAAAAACAAAATATATCTGGAAAGAAAAAATATAATTCCTCTTATTATTTACCAATATCCAAATAAGTAATTACTTTTTTTTTTTTTTTGGTACAGGGGATTGAACTTGGGTCCTTGCGCTTGCAAGGCAGGCCACCGAACCGCTGAGCTAAATCCCTGGCCAGTAATTACTATTTTTCATTTGAAATAATTAACGATCTTTCTTCAATGTAATTTTTGGAAGAGGAGATTAAAATTGTGACTAAATTATAAACTTCTGTCTTAGTTAATTTTCTCATTGCTGAGACAAAATACCTGACACCCAAAGTTAGAGGCAGGAAAGGTTTACTGAGCTCATATTTGTAGAGGTTTCAGTCCATATCAGTTGGCTCCAAGGCGGGGGTGGGGGGCACACAGCACAGGGGCAACAGGTCATGTCAGAGGAAGACAGCAAAAGCAACAAGAGACTTTGACAGCATCTTTCTGCCCCTTTTATACTCTATCTAGGCTAATGAAGGTAGGCAGCACTCACACCCTTAATGCCAAAGCCCTTGAGCCTGGCACTGCACCATGAATCAAATCCAGTTTAACACATTCTAGATCCAGCCACCTCTGAAAAAGTGAGGCTTTGGGGGAACATCTACACATAAGCCATAATACCTTCAAATGAAATTGTTTTAGATTATCCAGATTGGACCAACCCATGTCTCCGGTAAAAGCTGTGGTCAGAGAGAGATGAAATGAAGAAGGAAGAGGCAATGAAATTCAAAACGCAAGAAGCCTGGAAGTGCTAGTTTTGATGATGGAACAGAAAGACACAAGTCAAGGAATATAAATGGCTTCAAAACACTGGAAAAAGCAAGGAACAGGTTTTCTTGTTTAGCTACCAGAAAGGAATATGGCTCTGCTGACACCTTGAATTTAGCTCACTGAAACCTACAAAATTGTAAAAACCATGTGTTGCTTTAAGCCACTATGTGTGTGGTATTTTGTTTCAAAACTAGAATGGCACAGCTGGTACAGTACAGTGATTAATCAGAACATTATATTCACTAACCAATCTAAAGAACATGAAAATTCATGTACGTAATACAGAAGGTACTCAATAAATGCTTAATATTTACAAGAGCAACCTTCAAGTACATATCCTGCATGAAGTATCCTTTCCTAAGACATTATGGATTGATCAAAATACTGTACTTTTAAATTTTATAAATTCATATTTCACTTAAGGGCAGTGAGGAAGAAAACTTTTTTTCAACTACACCCTCAAATTAGTCAGATTCTTTATGCTGTGTTTTCTTAAAACAGCCAAGAACTAATTAAAAACTAAAAGAAGCAAACAAAGAAATAATCCAGTACACAGAATATGGACTAAGGAAGATATTTACAAAAAGAGTTCCTCAGAACAGAAAAGGTGGCTTTTCTCCTTTATTTCAAGCAAAATAAAGAAAGGCAGACAGGCAAAGCTGAAGTCTGTCAACTATTACTTTAGGCAATATAAAATCTATTTCATATACTAAACCAAAAGAGTTTTTTTAAATGTAATAACTAAAGTAGAACTTTGTGTTTTTTAAAAAAGTTTAAATATTCTCAACTCTTTCTCTCAACTAATAATACAATATAATCATCTAGAACCCTCATGTACCCATACAATTGCAGTCAAGAGCATTTTCTACCTAGCTAATAGTTTTATGAACTCTACACAGGACATATCCTGGATCTTCTTTTCTTCTTTTAATCTCCTTTGCGTTTTATCTCCTATCACACAGGACTGTCAAAAAGCTAATTTATATTATACACATATTTAAAGTACCTAATACTTTTGATAAGTGTTTTCTGAGCCATTACCTATTCAGAAAAGAATTATTTCTTTTTTGTTTGTTTGTTTTTTTATTTTTTTGAGACAGGGTCTCACTATGTAGTTGAGACTGACCTGGAACTCACTATGTAGCCCAGGTTGGTCTCAAACTCAGCAATCCTCCTGCCTCAGCCTACTGAGAGCTGGGATTACAGGCGTGCGCCACCACACCTGGCCAGAAAAGAATTTTCTATAAGAATAATTTTTTTATTAGCTGAAAAATACAAAGAACATAAACTGACTTTTCTTCACAGCAAATCATAATCAACTATACAATGATGATATAGAGTTAGTCACATCCCAGGTTAGCCTGGGACAATCTCAATTGTGCTTACTGTCTTCATGCTGTTGTTCTCAAGAGTCTTGACTGGGATGATAAATTATACGGTCACCCAAAATATAAATACCTATATTATTTAGATAACTATTTTCTGCCTGTACTTTAATCCTGTGCATATAAATATCCTGAATTTTTTTCTTAAAGAATTTATGATGTGTTTTACTCATATTTTGATTCACTAACTTGTTTATTAGTCCTTCCCTTTCACATTTCCCTCTAGGTATGCTGTCAACTAAGAAGCTAAGCAAAAACCATTTGAGTTGAATTGAATCACATCAAAATGAAGAATCTATAGGCTTCTGAGGCTCTTTGTAGATTTAGTTTTGCTCTGCTTACTTCCCAAAGTTAAGCAAGATATTAAAACCATAAAATGGTGAAATAATGTTTATAGCTACATTTAATATAAACACTTACCCACAGGAGGCATCTCTTTTTTGGCATTGTGACCATTTCTCATCTCTCCACAACCTTCAATAGTTCTGTTTGAATTTCCTGGTAACTTGTCATGGGCAATATGTGACATATTTTCATCATTAGACTGTCCTGTATCAAGCTGTTCTTCAACTACAATAGTCTTCAATTTTCTTTTCTGTTTTTGCTTTGTAGTTCTTTTGTTTCCAGATGGTTTTTCAGCTTTCTCAGAATTTTCCAATTCATCTATCAAAGTACAACTTGTACTTGGTTTCTTTTCATTAGGGGGCTCAGATTTCTCTTCTGGGTGAGTTTTATGTAAATGTTTGTCATTTGTCAGAGTCACAGGTAATACACTCTCATGTTCTCTTGCCTTCTTACATTGAAGGACTGCAGTACTCTCAACAGAGGATATTGTATGTTGTTTCAAAGGTCTACTCTTTCTTGGTATTGTAATCCAAGACTGAGAGACAAAACTTCTATCTGACTCATCGATTATAAATTCATCTTCCAACAACTTTGTAACATTTGGAGGAGATGAATGAGATGGAGCCGATGCTGTATGCCTAACAATGGGACTAAAACAGGATATGTATTATTTTAACAGCTCAAACGGTTTTACTTTTTTATAGTGCGGAAAAAAGTGTATCTACTTAAGAAGCAGTTCACGTCTCCTCAATTTTCCCTTAATTTTACAAATCCCTTCCTACCTTTTCAGCTCAAAACCTCTATTTGTAACACTAACAGGATCATAGAAAATTAGAGCAGAGCAACTAATTTGACAGCCCCCTAAAATATACATACTAAAAAATTGAAACCCAGAATTGTATAATCATAACTCAGACACATTAACTTTTAACCCAAAACAAAGCACATTAGTGTATGTATTTTATAAATTATGCTTGTGTGAGGTCTTTTGGAGTCTGAATTTCTTCATATTCCAAACAAGGGTGGACAAGATTTCTTCTGAGAAACTTTGACATATATTTTAAAAGAACACTACTAAATTATAAGAGATCAGAGCAGATGTCTTCTAATCATTTTTTTATGTACCACAAGACTTCATATACAGAAGTACTAACACTAAGACACTGAAAGAAATACAACAAAGGAAATCTATCTCGATGATGTAGAGAAAGCAGCATACACATACAGACAGCGCCACAGCATGCACCACAGCTGTGTGCCACAGTGTGACTATGTGAGATGAGAAAGTTACCAGGAACCAGAATACATTCCAAATGGGACAGTGAACAGTTAAACGTACGAAAAAAAAGACAGCCAGAATAAGAAGCAAAGTCATATATTAAGCTCAGGCCCTCACCTAACATAGGTCCAGAGTTACCACTGTTCACAGCATGATGGAGCCGAACAGTTTCCCTGCTAGAGAGACCACCAAATCACTGGCACTGATCCCAGTCCAAGTCCAGAGAATTAGCTACCCTTTACAAAGCATGAAACTACCAAGGAAAGAAAGTGGGGGTTGGGAGGTGGCCACAGCTGGGCACTCATTCCAGACACTACAGTCCCTAAGCCCTGGTGAACAGGACATAGCCCAGAGTACATGATAATAACAGAAAACCAGTCCATGAATGCAGAGTCCAGGCAGGTACAGAGACCTAGCTACCCTGTGAAACACTAAGAAGTTTTTTTGTTTTTGTCTTTTTTTTTGGTACCAGGGATCGAGCTCAGGTCCTTGTGCTTGCAAGGCAGGTGGCAGAACCGCTGAACTAAATCCCCAGCCCAACACTAAAAAGTTTTAAAGGAAGGAAAGAAGCAACCACAGCTGAGCACTCACCCCAAACACCACTGCCCACACTGTAGTAGGAGTTTCATTAACTCCTGCCTCTCTGGCCCTGGGCACAGAGTGATATATGAAATAAAAGATAAACTCAGAGGCCTGTGGCAATTAGGATCATGGACGTGGGGGATGGGAAGGGAAACAGCCAAAACTAACAGGGAAAACCTTCTCCCTAACCCCTGGCAGGTATTGAATTTGCAGAGGTCTGAGCAGCTGAGAAAGAGTGGCAGCAGTTCCAGACATGGTGTAAGAAGTTTCTGGTTGACAGAAAACCCTGGGCTGAAACGCACTATAGGGAGGAAAGTAAATGCAACACCAAGGATCCTGAGAAAAACAGGTCAAGATTACAGTGGACTAATGACAGGAGACTAAACTGGGTGGAGCTTTGGCTCTCCCTTCCACGCCTGCACAAAGTCACTGTGTGAGACAGATGTGATCTGCTTGTATCCTCAGACTCCCTTACCTTAAAAATGTGGAAGTGGGCTTAAATGTGTATTCCCTTCATATGAGTGTGGATTAATATTTAAATTCTAAAGTGATTTACATAAACCTACGGGGTTCTCCTTACCAAGGGTTGCTTCTTGAATCTTCAAGCAATGAGTATGTGCAGGCAAAGACATACTGGTTCCAAAACCCATACAGTCTCTCACAATTATCACCTGTTATTTCCTTCTCTTCTATTCTATACCTCTGTTCCCCTCACATAACCTCTCAAACATCTTCTTTTCCCTTCCCCTGTCCACACATAAAAATAATACCATCAAAATATTTTTTAAATTTTGAATATTTATTACTTCATTTTATTCCCCCGCCTTTTTTTTTTCTTAGATCTCAGTCTACTCTGCACCACTAATATTTCTTCCTCTTCCTGGATTGTTGAAAGATAAAACTTTTTTAACAAGTTTTAAATTAAGTGTTGATATCTGATTAGTTCTGTAGATGTTGTTATGATTGGTTATTGTTCTTTCCTGGCATTTCCAGTCAGTGCTTTGAATAGGTGGAGTAGATATCTACATACTGACTCACACCCAAAACCAAGGGCACATCACAGGGAGAAACCTATTTGCTAAAAAAAAAAAAACCTCTATTATAGTGGAAAGCTTTCTACTCCGTCTAATCTATACCATTCAACATAAAAACAAAAAATCAAGAGAAGGCCGGAGGTTTACCTCTTGGTGCCACTGCCTGCCTGGCAAACACAGGTCCTGAGTACGATCCCCAGTTCCGCCCCAAAAAAAAAAAAAAAAAAAAATCAAGAGAAGACAGACAAGGCAGTAAGATGCCCGAGAAATTTATAACTCTCCAAAAGCTAATCTTTACAGGCAAGGAAATGGATGAATTTCCAGACTTTAAAAAACAATAGAATAGTTAGAGACTAAAAATGAAGAATAAAGAGACTAAAGTTGGGATAGATAAGCAGATGAATGCAGTAATTACTAAAATATTACATAACCTCCAAGAAGCCAGGAAAGAGCCTGGCATGGTGGTATTCACCTGTAATCCTAGAACTCGGGAAGCTAAGGAAGGAAGATCACTGTGAGTTCAAGGCCAGACAGAACTACATATAGAGACCTTTTCTCAAAGAACAAAAATAAAAACAAATAATTATTTTTTGTTTCTTTCCTTTTTTGGTACCAGGGATCAAATTCACTCAGGTCCTTAACGCTTGCAAGGCAGGTGGCGGCACCAAGCAGCTAAATCCCTGGCCCCAAATAAATGATCTTAAAAAAAAAATGTAAATAATCAGTTAAATGATTCAATTACCAAGATATTAAAACAACGAGCTCAAGACATAAATAAGTGGCTGAATAAGTTAAGGAAGACAATGTGAATGATGACTCTATCGGAATCAAATTATGAAAAGTATGCAGAAATTCTTGAAATGACAAACTCAATTGAAAATTTTGGTCATAGACATGACCTGTCAGAAGACAGAACAGTAGGACTTGATGACAAGGTTGGTATAGTAAGCCATTTATTCAGATACTCAAACAATATAACACACAACCAGAAACTGATCCACAAACTCCTCAGAGATGATTCTAAAGAACAAACTTCAGATTAAAGTAAGATTTGAGAAGGAAACTAATAGTATAAAAAATTATTCACCAGGGCCAGGGATTTAGCTCAGAGGTTCTATCACCTGCCTTGCAAGCGCAAGGACCCAAGTTCAATCCCTGGTACCCCCACCCAAAAAAAAAATTCACCAAAATCATCACAGAAAAGTTCCAAATCAAGAGAATAAAATGGATACCCTAGTAAAGAGGCATTTAAAACTCAGATACAAAAAGAAAAGAATCTCTACATGACACATCACAGTAAAAAAAAAATCTCAAACTTTCAGAATAAAGACTTTAGAAAGGCAGTGTAAGCAAAAAAATCTAATGCCTAAGACAGAAAAAAACAATTCTTCAATACAAAGAAGACAATGCCACAGAATCTGTTTGGAATAAAGTCAAATAAAGTTTCCCTAATCTAACCCTGTTCCTCCACACCCGTAAACCAAATTTTATTTGGTTTATTTAAAGAATATTATCATTGAGCCAGGCATGGTAGTGCACACCTATAATCCCAGCACTTAAGAGGCTGAGGCAAGAGGATCCTTGTGAGTTCGAGGCAAGAGGATCCTTGTGAGTTCAAGGCAAGCCTGGGCTACACAGTGAATGAGTTCAAGGCCAGCCTTGACTATGTAGCAACCTTGTCTCAAAACAAAAAAAGAAACCCTAAAACAAAATGAAGTGAAAAAAAAATCCTTATTGTATATTGTATATTATTTATAATACCTACTGTTTGTATATAAAGAAGCAATACTATGAATTTTTTAAAGAAGCCTTCCCAAACTAGCCAACAAGAACTATCCAAATCTGTTCTTCAAATTCAAGGGACTTCCATCTGACGAGTTAAGGAAACTAAAGCTCTTCAGTTAGATTCAGTAAGATCTGGTCATGGGAAGCACAAGAAAGACAAATGGAAAAGCACAAGCAAAAACAATGATACTAGAAAGCATGAAGAAGAGTAAGTTGCTACATCTGCCTACAGCAATAAAAATAAAATTAACTTTGTTCAGTAGTCTACCAAAGAACATTAAAAATACCCAATTGTTCTTCCACATATAATTAGCCGATATATGTAATATACTCATTAAGGACGGTGTGCACAACATGCATGTGGGGTGAATGCATGTGCATGTGTGTGTATGTACACTGAGAAACGAAATATGGGAAGAGAGTCAACATTTTCTTACAGAAATTTTATATGCTCAGTAGCACTCTGACAGATACCACAAAAAACATAAATTAATTCCTAGAAAGGAGCACTAAAGTCTTAATTAAGAAGGATACACATAAACTAGCAAAATTATAATATAAGGCAAAAATATATTCAAAACCACTGATGTGCAATTTGAAAAAACCCAGAGGCCTAATGCATACCTTAAAAGAAAATGGTGACTGGCAAAAGACACGATAAAGGGTGAATGCAAACAGAACCGCAAATTAAGTATGACAAAGTGGGCAAAAACAGGAGACCTTAAATGCCAGCTGACAAAGCTTATATTTATTCTACAGACTAGGCGTTCTCAACTCTGGCTGCCATTAATTCTAAGTAACTCTAAATGTGCTCTCTGTGTTTGAGAATCAATATTTGGATAGCACAAAAATCGATGCGGGGGTTTTTTTTTTTTTTTTTTTTTTTTTTTTTTGGTATCGGGAATTGAACTCAGGTCCTTGTGCTTACAAGGCAGGCCACCGAACTGCTGAGCTAAATCCCCGGCCCTAATAAGGGTTTTTGATCAGGAGAGACTATACTAAAATTTACTTAAAATCCTTTCACTGGCACAATGAGGAGAAACAGAAAAAAGACAAAACCTGCAATAGTTAAGTGCAGGTGCCATGATTTAATTATATTTCTAGCACTTTTCATTTTTTTATATCATCACAGTCAAACCACAGAAACGACTGGTGAGCAATAAGAACTAAATAATTCATTTTCTTTTGCATTTAATTTAGTACCTATTAGAAGGATGTCTTTGAGGTGTGAAATACTGGCAGAAACAAAAAATACAACCCTACCTCCCTTACAGGTCAAGCAAAATTTCAATTAATATTTGTGTCAATTATTTATTTCTAGGTTAAATATTAAAAATAATATATATAGTTCATAGAATGGAAAACAAAGCAATGTCAAAGCACTCACCTGGGTTCGCCTTTTCTCTTTACAGTTTCTAAAAACAATGTTGAAAAACTCTTTTTAGTTTGTGATTGAATTTCATATTCCGTATCTTGTACTCTTTTTGGAGATGTTTCTGATAGTTTCCTTTCTTCTTGTCCTGATATTTTATCTTCTACTTCTGACTTATTAGTCTCTCTCTCTACTTTTTTCAAAATATCTTTATCTTCAAAGTTTAACCTAAAAGGTTACACGAAAATGAAGCAAAATGCTCCTATGTTTGTTATGAGTCTTCCTGAATTCCTTTACAGTGACAATACAGACCACGTAATGAAATTTTGCACTGGGCATTAGAATGACTAAATTATAAACCAACAAAATATGTAGCTTTAAGCACTATTTCTCAGAGCACTGCAGCAGACTACATTTTGAATAGTAAAATCTTAGAATATACTCAACTTCTTGGCTCTAGAAATAAAATGGTACTCTAGATAGAAATTACACTAATTACAAAGGTTCCCAGTAACAAAGGACCCTGAACAATCTAAAAGGGTTAGAAATGGCACAACATTTACAAGCCATCCTCAGCAATGCATATGTTTTGCTACCCTAGAAATTACATAATAATATTTGCAGTTATAAAGGATATGAAGCAAACACAAATTTTTTTTTTCCTTTAGGAACTTAGAGAAACCTAAATAACACAAATAAAACACATCTTTACATAGACTATATAAAAGTTAACCCCCAATTTCTTGGAAGCATATTTAAAGGCCTTCCTTATTAAGTATAAATGAATATACAAAAGGTATTTTTCTTATAACATGTGAATATCTCTTAATCCTTACTACAAAACTACATCAAAATGTTATACTACCAATTTTCAATATGAAAGCTAAAATGTTTAAAGTAACACTGTTATTATTTAAATGAAAGGTTACCTTTTTTTGGTTTTAAGAGAAATCTCTGTCCTTGACGACAGCATATTTACTGAATTTCCAAAAGTATAAGTTTCTCTCTTTTGAGCAGATGAAATATCATTTTGCGATTTAGATGGTTTTTCGTGCAAAGGAACAGCTGGCGATCCAACCGATATGTAAAATTCTTCATCAGCTTCAGCACAAAGAACATTTAGTTTTTTACCTGAGTTTTTTGTTAAGTCAGGTGTTCTTTTAGAGCAAACATCAGCTGCCAGAACTTTCTGATAAATTTCATGAGCCTGAACTAAAAGAAAATTACATGACAATACTTCTTAATTTAAAAGGTAACATTAGAATCAAAGGTGCTTTAAATTCAGCAATAATTTAATTACAAGTAGTTTTCAGAAGACTCACAAGACAATAAATTTAGAATCAAAGGTTATAATTAAAATACATAAATATTTTAGAAATTTTGAAAAGACAAATCTTTAAGACACAGAAAATCACAAGTTGACTGATAAAGTTTGAAGTGTGAATAAATCTATAGAGATAACATAATAAAGTAACCTAGAAAGTATACATAAATATTTTAGAAATTTTGAAAAGACAAATCTTTAAGACACAGAAAATCACAAGTTGATAAAGTTTGAAGTGTGAATAAATCTATAGAGATAACATAATAAAGTAACCTAGAAAAATCACGAGATTCTTCTATGTTTATAAAGGCTAAGAGCTGGTAAGGTAAGGCAGCTAAATGAACACATATTTGCATCCCATTTACAACAGAGATATATACTAATACATGTATGTATATATACACATGTGCATATGCATCTATTTATCAATGTATATATATAAATAGGATAAATATTATTTCTCTTAACCTTCAATCTTCAAATATCAGAGAATGGCTTGGTAGCATCCATTATGATTCATGTCCCTAAAAAGCAGAGACTAGAAATCTAAAATATTGTGATTCGCATCCCTAAAAGCAGAGGCTAGAAATCTAAAATACCACCACAAAAGGTTTTTGATTCTGGAATGAAATGGCATTTCCCAGTCTCTCCCTCTAAGTACAACTAAATAAATTCCTTCCAAATGATCCATTGACCAACAGGTCAGTGGTGGCGTAAATCTGTATCCCCAGCACTCAAAGACCGCAGCAAGAGGACTGCACAATTCCAGCCTGGGACACGCAAGGAATTTAGGGCCAGTCCTGACTATACAGCTAGACCCCATCTCAACCCCTTCACCCCCCAAAAAACAAACGCATAACGAAGAAAACAAAAATTACAATACCAGGATTGTGAAAGCTAGGAGGAAAAAGGTGGACTAGCTAGAAATAGAAATGCCAATATTCAAGGAACAATGTGGTTCCTTGGTTAAGTTTCGTGTTCATCTCATACATATTCCTAGAATGAGCAACAGAGAAGCCTTGAACCCATAGCAAACAATTAGGCAAAAGGGGAGACAAGAGGAGAAGAAGGCCCAGTTGCTACCCTAGTAATCAGATATATCAGGAGTCATGATCCACAGGCGAACCTACAGAAAAGTCAAATTTTTGTCCTACCCAAGCCCTGCTTCACACCACAAGGTACTGTTTTGAGAGGTACTACTGATGTCCCCAGGCCAGTGGTGTCAGTCTTATGGCAGTGTGTTTTTAAGACAAAAGATATTAATATAGACTGCTTTTTTCTAAACTAAAACCTCAGTATTCAGGTTTAACCGCAGTGTTGGCACTTTGCAATAAATAAGTGGGTTTTGGGTTGCAGTTTGTCACTTGCTCTTTAAAAGGTTCACCACCACTACTTCAGGCCAGGACACCAGCACACAGTCAAAGCTGAGGCAAGAAAAGTGTAAGAGATCTGAGAGTGTCCCTGTGCCCAACACCCATGATATAAGATCCAGGGCCAGGAGTTTCTACCTGGAACCAGTAATGGGTGAACAATGACATAAGGAGGCTCAACAAAGCACTTATACCCCACTCTATAACACGAACTAAGCTAGAACCCAAGCAGCATAAAAAGCGAAGCATACCAGAATAGCACTGCTAAAAACATACCCTAAAAAGGATGGGAAGAGTCCATACATTACACCAAACAGGATAACTATGTTTTACAAGAAAAGGTTTAAATATGATCCAGAATCTCCTAGCCTAACAACCAAATGACCAAAATACTAATCAAAATGATCTGCCATATCAAACAATAGAAAAAAAAAATCTGAGGAAAACATGATAGACATAAATAAATGGAACAAATCAAATATTTAACAGAATATTTGACAAAGTATTTAATATTTAAATATTTGATATTTAATATTATTTAATAAAGATGCAATATATTTTTAAAAATTTAAAGCATATATCATAAAACTCTTTAACAATCAATTATAAATTTTCTTAACTGAAAGAGATAGTCTGAAAGAAATAAGAGCTATAAGAAAGAACTAGTTGTTTTGGATTTTAGTCATTTCTCTTGGTGTAGTTTCCAAACGTTTTGATTTAAAATGCCCTAATGACTGATGTTGAGCAAATCAAATCCACAATGAGATACAACTTTATGCTCATTAGAATAAGTATTATTTTAAACAAAATAAAAAGAAACAGAAAATAACTGTTGGTGATAACATGAAAACTCTTGGACAATGCTGACAGGAATATAAAATGATACTATGAAAACAATAAACCAGACTCTTAAAAACAGTAAAACACAGACTTGACAACAATGTAGCTTAGTAATTATATCTGTAAAATAATATGCTACATCTACATAGTAGTTCCATAGCTCCACTGCAACAGCCACACTTTGCTATTTTCATGGAGTCAGTGCACAGGGACAGGTGGCACTGTAGGTAGGGAAAAGAGGATAAAATGGCCAGAAGGCCTAGGATAGGATCAAAGACACTGAGGGCAATAGCTCAGATAGTGACAAGCCTGGGGGATGGGAAAAATACTAGTCCTCAATAAAAGGAGCCAGGGATAAGACCTTGTGGGTTTTTCAGCTTTAAAAAACCCCTACCCCCTCATGGTAGCTCTCTATCCTCTTTCTTTTCCATCTTTTTTACTCAAATAAACTGTCTTTTGTTATACTAAACTTTGCCTTTTTTTAGTTCTTTAACAGAGCCAGGTTTAGAATCACTGGAAACTGCATTTTCAGCAGAGCAGTGGCATGCCATGGTCTGGCATGGCATGGCGAGCTATCTACCCCTGGACGTAACATGTGGACCACTACTCTGTCAGGATGAAGTGGGTTTGGCTTGTCAGTGTTCCATGAAGTCTGAGGCCTGGGATCATGTGCAAGCTTGCTTACATGTCCGACCCCTAATGCTATCTGTGACTGGAAGCCTATCTCTCTCCATGTGGGTTCCTTCAGGCTTCTTCATACTGTGGCAGTGGGTTTCTAGGGCAAAGGGACAGAGAAGAGATAGGAGCAACGGAATCAAGATCTCCAGGCAGCTATGAAGACTCACACGGCCTTTTATGACTTGTCTTGGAAGTTATATAGTAGTACATTTCCATTATTTAATAAATAGTATGTACAATTCACCTCTGAAGTTGGTAAGGGGAAAAAAATGCAGACCCGAGTAAGTTTAGGAATCAGTGGAGTCTTCAAGACCAAAGGAAAAAGAAATTATACATAATCTCTATACTCTAGCTGATAAATGTTTCCTATAGGGAATGAGTAAGTCAGCAATTCTGATCGGTTGGTTACCCATTCATACAGGAATTAAAAAGTAAACAGATGGTGAATGGAAGATTACCAGTTTCAATAGCATGATATGGGTATTTACAAAGCAGGGGTGCTAGGATACATATGACAATAGTTTAGAGCTGCAGACATCAGTATAATCTCATGTCTAGCTAAATAAGATACAGAACACTGCATATAAATGGATTTACAGATATGTTACACTGGTTAGGATACACACATATTATTACCCTGCTCAATCAGTTGAGAGCATCTATGAGCAATAACATCCCAAGAGTGACATTATAACTAGCACCCAGACCTTGGTTCCTTATATTATTCTCCAGTTAAAGGAAATGGAAATTTGGAGAAATGTTTTCTTCTATGATAGAGGTAGAAAATATGTAAGACAGACTTAGAGAATCTTGTTAATTCCAGAAGGTAAGAAAGTACTCAAAAAACAACAAAAACAAGATATATCACAAAAAAACCAGGGTATGTCAAAGAAACATGAGCCAATGAAAGAGCTTCTAATGGCCAAAGCTAGAATTTGAGCAACAAAATTAATAAATACTATTAATTATAAACTATAGTAAAGTTTCTACCTGAGATGAGGGGAAAAAAAGAGCAGAAACCAGTAAAAATGAAAACAAGAAAACAATACAGAAAACTAATAATATCAAAAAGCTAGTTCCTTCAAAAAAAAAGTGATAAACCTTGTAGCAAAATTAACAAAGATGATAAAGATAACAAAAGACACAAAACATCAATAACTAAAAAGAAACAGGAGTTATCACAACAGATTCTGCAGCCACTAAAAATATAATAATGTAATGAAACTGTACTGTATACATAAAATGTACCAATAAACTAAATTTTAAAAAATAAAAAATAAATAAAAATATAATAATGTAGTATAGCCCTGATGTAGTGGAACATGTCGGAAATCCCAGCACTAAGGTTAACTGCAGGCCAGCAGTGCTACAGAGTGAGTTCAAGGACAGCCTGAACTAAATAGTGAGATCATGTCTTAAAAAAAAAAAAAACAGTATAATACTACAAACTTTACCCTTATAAACTCAAGAAGCAGTAAAACAGATTTCTCAAAAATAACAAAATTACCAAAAGTCAGCTAAGATGGAATAGATAACCAAAAGAGACTCAAAAGTATTAAAGAACTGAATTTGCAATTTAAAAGTTCTTGAAAAAGAAATTTCCTGGACCAGATACTTTCATTGGAAAATGTTATACCAAACATCAAGGAATGATCATCTTAAAGTCTTTCCAGAAATCATAAAAAGGAAACAATTTTTACCCTATTTTACATATATGTGTATATATATATATATATATACACATATATTTATATATACATATATATGCATGCACACAGCATTTAAGGGAGGAAAAAAAATAGGGCTGGAGATACAGCTCATTGGTAGAGCATTTTCCTAGTATACCTGAATCTCTAGGTTCAACCCCAATAGTGCAAAAGAAAAAAGAAATAGAAAAGTGTGGGTCAGTAGCTTAAATGCAAAAATCACAACATTCCAACAAGTCACATCCAAAAAAATGCATGAAGAAACAGTAAGAATACATAACCGGCATTTATAGACAAATACACCCAATAGTCAACATAATTTTTCAAAAGTCTAAAAATCATTTACAAAGATAGATAAATCCAGGATCATAATCTTTACAAATTTAAAAATACTAAAATCACATAGTAAATGTTCTGTCATAAAAGAATCAAGATTAGAATACAGAAAAGACAACAGAGCAATTTCCAAACACTTGAAAATTAACACTTGAAAAATTTTAAAAAGCAATGATTTGAAGAAGTCTCAAAGAAATAACTATTAAGTTATTAAATCATATTAAATATTATATATTTATAATGCTAAAGTAATATATTTATATTGTCAAATATTTAAAATACCTAGAAATAAGTATGACGAACAGAAAATATTTTGGATGCAATATAGAATGCTAGGAAGGAAATGAATGTTAAGAGGAGGAAAGAATAGGGCTTGGAATGTATCTCAGTGGCAGAGCACTTGCTTATTAGCATGTGCAATGTCCTGGGTTCCATCTCCATCCCCAGCACTGAAAAAAAAAAAGAATAATGAAGGAAAAATTTCAAGTCAATGAATACTCTACCACCAAGCAGAAATTCTTTCAGGTAGCCAAGATTGTTTAAACATAAATCAGTCAAATAAGTCACTGCGTTAAGAGAAGAAAGTCATGCAATTATATCATTTATGCTCAAAGTGGATTTGAGCAATCTTTATCCACAATTTAAAAACTGCCAGTATACTAGAACAGAAAACTTTCCAAACCTTAGAAAGAGAACCTATAAAAAACCTACAGCTATGCCAGTGGGTGGTGTGGACATGTAATCCCAGCACTCTGGGAGGCTGAGGCAGATGAATCCAAACTGAAGCCCAGACTAAACAATTCAGTGACTTAGCCAGACCCTGTCTCAAACTAAAAAGAAATGGGGTGTGGCACAGTGCAAAGGCCCAGGATTCAATCCCTAGTACCACTGGGGAATCTACAGCTAAAATTATAGTTAATAATGAGAGACTGAATGCCTTCTAAGAGCAAAATCAAAGCAACAATTTCTAGTCTCGTTACTTTTATTTCAGTTAAAATCCTAAAACAGACATGAATTCTTACTATGATCATTACTAGTCAACAATGACTCAGAGACTCTAGCGAACAGTCTAAAATAACCATACTAACTATAAAATAACAGGTAAAAACCTCTTTAGCTGACAACATGGTCATATGGCTTAAAAGAAATTAAACCATTCTAAATTTTTTAATTTCTTGGATTTAAAAAAAATTGTTTGGTTAAGTGTTGGGTTAAAATTCTCTTTAGTTAGCCCCTTATGACTAAAGAAAAATTCTATTCAGAACAAAACAAAAATTACAGTATGGTTAGAATTAACTTTAACAAGAAATTGAGTCATTGAGAGTTGAGGAGAATGAGGAACCAAAAGACAGACTTTTTTGAAAACTTTTTTCAGTAAGGCATGGTGGTGTATGCCTGTAATATCAGCACTCTGGAAGGCCAAGGCAAGAGGACAAGTTTGAGCCCACCATGGGCATTTACCAAATTAGCAAGACACCGTCTCAAAATAAAAAAGGGCTAGCAATGTATCTCAGTATGAAACCCTAGGTTCAATCCCAATACTGCAAACAAACAAAATATAGAATAACATGAAATTAAACTTACCACTTTAACCATTTGTAAGGGTACAACTCAGTAAAATCGAGTCGGATGAAAGTTTATATAACCATCACCATTATCTATTTCCAGAACTTTTCATCATCCCAAACAGAAACTCTGCACCCATTAAGCATTATTCACCCTTACCCCTCACCCCAGGTCCATGACCAGTTCTATTATACAGAAGTACACTACATTGTATGAGACTTAACACTTGACTACAGCAGTAGATTCAGAACAGAACAGATCAATTAATGAAAGGCTCAAATACAGATCATCTGGAAGGAAACAAAAGATTATATACTCAAATCCACCATTCTAGATGGATTAAAGATTTAAGTTTTTTTAAAAAAGTAACGGCCAGGGATTTAGCCCACTGGTTCTGCCGCCTGCCATTCAAGTGCAAAAACAAGGACCCGAGTTTGATCCCCAGTACCAAAAAATAAAAGCACTTCTTTAAAAAAAAAAAGAGAACCAAGACCTGTCATGTAAAGGTATAAGATCCTAATAATAAATGTTAACCGTACTGTATACCTAAAATGTACCAATAAACTCAATAAAAAAAAATTAAGAGGAACACCAAAATGGGTTATGTAAAAGTGCAAATATCCAATGATGAATGTTATTGTATACCTTAAATGTACCAAAATTAATTTTAAAAAATTTAAGAGGAACAACCTAACTTCTTACATACCCTTAGTATAGAGACTTTATTATCAAAACCTACAAAAATCACATATTTGACAATTTTAAAATCTTGCCTATTTTATGGTTAAAAATATAATAACCAGGGCCAGGGATTTAGCTCAGTGGCACTGCATCTACCTTGCAAGCACAAGGTCCTGCAATCAATCCCCGAAACAAAAACAAAACAGAAACAAAAACTTTTTACATATATATATATATATATAAAAAAAACTACAATCTAGCTATCATTTGAAAAAACATGTCACACAAATTATAGAAAAATAGTTATAGATATTCAAAGCAAAACCTGTTATGAAAAAGAAACAAAAGTAAAGGTACAAGATCCCAAAGATAAATGTAAGTGCAATGTTTGCTTTAAATGTACCAATAAACTTAACGGGGGAAAAAAAGAAACAAAACAAACAAATGACACTGACAAACACAGATAAGTCATATTGTCAGATAAAAGCAAATGCCAATAAACTTCTAAGAAGGAGTTCAAACCCAATAACAATCATGGAAATGGACAAAGTAAAAATGAGATAACTAAGTACCAAACAAACTAGCAAAATACAGAATGGCTGATCACATAAAAAGCACTGACATTATTTCTGCAAAAGAAAATTTTAACAGCCTCTTCTGAAAGTACTTAAAAACAAACACATAAACATATGCATTATTTTTTTCATTTATGAGCACTAATCACATATGAAAGGATTAGAAAGCTACCTGAACAAGATGATAGGAGCAATATTTAGACTTTCTTTTAAATCTTTGATTCTTACCTCAAATAGAGTAATACTCTTTAATTTGAAAAATAAAGATAAAATTTTTTTTTTTAATTTTTGAGACAGGGTCTCAATATGTAGTCCAGATTGCCTTACACTCACTATGTATTCCTACCTGACCTTAAACTCTCCTGCCTCAGCCTCCTGAGTACTAGGATTGCAGGCAAGCACTACCACAGCTGGGCTTCAAGATAAAACTTTTACAAGCAGCAACCTGTATCACTGACATTTTAAATGGAGCAAAAGGAAAAAAAAAAAAAAATAGAGCACTTAACACAGACTTGAAAATCTAAACATATTCATCCATGGCACAATTCTACCTAGGCTGAGCCTAATCTTGTCATTTGAACCAACACATGCATGACCTCTGGCATTTCACTTTTTAATTATAGCCAGGCAAATAATACCCATGAACATGCTACTAACCTGATTCGCTGGCAGCTTCATTGGGTTCTACAATGCCTTGTAGAGAGGCTTCTTTCTCTCTTGAAGAAACTGGAAATGACCTTGGATGTGATTTCTGGCACTGCGCAAAGAAGAAACACATTATAATTTGCAGGGTAAAGTACTAGACAGGTGACAGCTATACAGAGTGAAAATTCCAGAGATGTGTGGATCTCCCACAAGCATCCCATGTAGACTGATCAGAGCATGCATGTGAGAAAATCATGCAAAACTAAAGAAAGAAGTACATAAAGCCTGAGGAGGAATAATCCTCATGAACCTAGAATAATGCCTGTACCTACCAGTCAGAGTGGAAAACCACCATAAGTCACGGTACACACAGAGTAAAGAACACAGGATTTTTACCTCAGAAGTGAAGAAAATTAGCTACAGAATACATCTTGCTAGTCACTGTTTCCACATCTCTCCCTACCTCTAAAAGTAGACCATTTGCATTTTGTTCTATTTTTACTAGCTGTAAAAACAAGTGTGTTGGCTTATTATGACCTATTATATCCTTTATAGATTAGGAATCTCTAACATAACCAGACAATAAAAATTTAAAGGAAATGACTATTATTCATAAACGTAGATGCAGATATTTATTAGCAAACCTAATAAAAAAGTTATTATTTCATGATGAAGTCAAGTTTATCCCAGCAAACTTGAAAGCTGATTTAGACTTTCAAAAATCATTGTAATTCATTCACTTTACCTCAAAAAAACTACTATTTTGTATAGTTAAGTCAACCTATTTTCTTAAGACATATAATGAATAAAATTGGTTTCCATGGATAGCAAGAGTGGCTTCATTTTTCAGAAAATAGAATTTGTCAACCTGACCAGAAACTTAATAGTTACCTATACACCTAAAAAACCTAATTGTCATTTTTGAAGAAATGAAAAATAATTGCTATAATTTGGTAACTTTAATTTCCAATTTCAAATGTAAGGAACATTAAATCAAAGTATTTATTAAAAAAACTCAAATTTTATAGACCATCAATGGAAATATAGGATTATCTTTCAAGAATAAGATAAAAAGCTAAAATGTATTTAACCCATAGAGCTTAACACTAATTTTGTCATAAAGGCACAAGAATATTTTCTTTATATTGTCTTTAGAATATTTCTATTGATGAATCATTAATTTTGTGAGTTTTATTCTATTAGACCATGAGTACTTAACAGGAAAAAAATCACAAAGTTAAGTACTGAATTTTTAATATTTACTGAGTATTTATACAAAAGCATCAAAATTTTCAGTATCAACTGTTTTTTGGTGTACAAGATCTAAAAAAGAATACAAATAAATTCTTAGATGAATTACAGTGAAAATACTAATAACACTTTACAGAAAAAAAATCTTTATTTCAATTATCAGCCCTAAGGTAACCTGCACACATGATAACAGCAAGTTCTACGTACACGTTATCAGTTACAGTGACAGCTATGTGTTTGGCTCTCCTGGCCTTTTTGTAGGACATCACTTGATACCTCACTGGTCTTGCTGTTCTGTCAGGAGTTTCTTATTATATTATACAGTGTGTAGTTAACAAGAGTATATCAATAAAGTATGAAATTCTTTTTTTTTTGAGACAGGTTCTCACTATATAGTTCAGACTGCTCTGGAACTCACTGTGTAGCTCAGGCTGGTCTCAAACTCACAGCGATCCTCCTGTCTCAGCCTCCTGAGCGCTGGGATTACAGGTGGGCACCACTATGCCCGGCTCTAAAGTACTAAATTTTTAATATGTACTATGCATTTAGAATAGATATCAAAATTTTCACACCAGCCACATACCTGTTTTATGTATTTATTTATTTTTTTTGGTACCAGGGATCAAACTCCAGATCTTGCACTTATAAAACAGGCAGTGGAAACACTGAGCTAAATCCCCAGCCCAACTCTACAACAAAAATAAGGTTGGTCACACCCGAGACAGTTTTCAAACATGAAAACTGTATATTCCATGCACACATCTTGTTACACTGACAATACATGTGCTCAGCTTTCCTATGTGGTAGTCTTGTCACCTTTCTTCTTTTCCTGTTTTATCAGGAGCTTCCTATTATACTGTACAACATGCACTTAGCAGTGAAATAAAATACCAACAAAAGAAAGTATCAGAAACTTTATGAACATAAAAACCTACGTGAATTATAATGTGAACACAAACAAAAGTCGACCACAGAAATAATCTCTGCTCAACTGTCATAACCAAGGCAGTTTTCACACATGATAACTGCATGTTCCACACAAGTATCACTTACTGATAGCATGTAAGTTTTGTTTTCCTGTCCTTTCTTATAGGGCACAGTTGACATCTTTTTGGTTTTTCTGTTGTCAAAGTAGGTCTTTGTGATGCTGAGCCTGCCTGTTCACCTATCAGCCACCAGTGTGCTCCAAAATTTTTGTATAGTTCCCCAGGACAGAAATACTTTGCTTTTCTTCCACTGTAAATGATTTATGAGTTCTAGTCCCAATCCTTTACGAAAATATCTGTGGCATTTTGCACTTGTTATTTTTTGGGAAACTATCAAACAATTTATTCCACACATTTAGGATCAAGTAAAACAGAAACATTGGCCAATGCTTTGTTTCAAGTAACACCATAGTTGCTGCGGAAAACATCAACAACATCTACTCGACCTTTAGTTTTACTCTAGAAAGTTTCCATCTCAGGCTTCTGGCTTGTCAAGGTTTCCCTATCAATATTTCTATCATGGTACAATGTTGACATCAGCAGTACCAGTTTGTTTTTCTTTGTCACACGAGGCCAATCTAAATCTTTCTGAAATTCAAAGATTGCACTATATAATTGTTTTAAAACTGCATCATTTCATTTGGAATTTCTGGTTTGTTCCTATAAACAGTTCCTACACTGGTCCACTTGTGCTCTGTTAGCTCTTTAAGCAAATGTAACATCAACTGAAAACTGGTAAAGCAACTGTCAAAATGTTACCTTCCAATTAGTTTGGGAGATGGAGGACCTAATCTGTTCACAACATCATTTGGTTTATCACTATACAAATAAGGACCTGATGGCTGAGTTACAGGATAAATGTGTAAGTGGAAAACATAGTAAGTCTTTGCATTTACAAAGACATAAAACCTTTATGCCATATTTTGACCCGTCGCTGTTCTATAAGCCTTTTACATTCCTGCAATTACTGTGAGAAATACCTGCTAAGTATAGTAGACCTATGAATGCTTTCAGTTCAGCTTGTGAGGTGTCATAATAAATACATTTTTTAATATGGCTAATGGTCCATACAAAATATTTTACTTGCATTCAGCCTTTGTGTATTTCACAGCATCTTATAAGCATTTTGGTTGTTACAATTTCCAACCCTGAAAGGCAATGCTGGCATTCTGTCCAAGACATATATTTTCAGACCTAGTACTAACATTGGATTGTTCCATTTGCATCAATCCATTTTGCAACTTTTTGACTGTCAAATATTTACTCAAATTGCTGTTTTATTCATTATCTGAATCAAGGAAGTCTGCAGTGCTGGTATTCTGTCCAATATGCATATTTTTGGACTTAGTTCTAACATTGGATTATTCCATTTTGCAACATTTTGACTAGTAAAATATGTACTCAAATTGCTGTTTTCTTCATCATCTACATCAAGGAGGTCTGCATTCCCTATGTCTTTATCAGTTGAGTCTTGCTCCATTCCACTGTCACAGGAACTCTGACTCACATGGCCAATGTCAAAGTCATCATCATCATCGTCATCATCATCATCATCATCATCCACTCACATCACTCTTCTGTTATGAAAACATGTATTGTGGTGATAATGGACCACCTTCATCATCCATACCTGAATAATTTGATGATTCACTAATCCTCCAAAACTTGCAGATAAGGTTTTTCATGTGCCATTGTACCGAATCGGGCTACGTTTACCAGAAAAATCAAAAGAAAACTTTTTTTTTAACAAATCCTAGAATGGTATGGGTCTATTTGGACTCTCTGTGATACTTGAGTAAACAAAGGCACAATCAGTTAGAGCATACTATGGGTAAAAATCTCATTTTGCCACTTTTGCACACATGCACAAATCTTGCCATTACATTATACCAAATGGGTAAACACATAGATTGTTTCCTGTATCCCTCAGGGAAAGGTACTGAGATGCACAGCCAGCTAATATTATACTAAAGTACAAATTTATAGTAGAAAAGTAAGGGTTGGGTCCACTGAACCTGGTGTCATACTTGGCAGGTTTAGTACATTGTATTTAGCTTCATTGATTAAAATATTACTTAATTTGGTTCTCTTTTTACTTACATCTTTGCCTGATGACTCAGTACAACTGTTTTTCATTTTGGGTGTTGAATAAAGCACTGATTTTGTAGAATTTGTAATAATATCATCAAAGAGACCTAAAAGCATGAAATTTTAAAAAGTTAATACAGCATGTATTGGTTACAATTCAAAGTAGCTCTACAGGACACGTGAAGAACTGTCTGGCTAACTAGGTATGGTACGACATACTTGTAATCCCAGAAGTCAGGATGCTGAGTTCTCAGAAGTTTGAGGCCAGTCTGGGCAATCTATCCTGTCTCAAAATTTTTCTCTCTCTTTTTTTTTTTCTCGGTACCTGAGATCAAACTCAGGCATAATGCCACTAAGCTACATCCCCAGCCCACCTATCTCAAAATTTAAAAAGGGTTAGAGATGTAGCTCAGTGGTAAAATGCTAAGCAAAGGTGTGTTCAATCCCCAATGCCACAATTAAAAGAAAAAACAGACATTAATTCAGCATTTAAAGTTCCTCAAAGGTATTAAAAACTGAGAAAAGCAAAGATATTGAAGAAGCATATGCCAGTCTTTGGGCTTATACCAAAGAGGTAGTAGTTTTTCACTGTCTGTTTTGTGCTGTGACTAAGCAAGGGAATGTAGATCAGTGACACAGTAGTTGCCTAACAAGCACAATGCCTAGGGTTCATTACCTGGCACAACAGGAAAAATAAAAGAAAAAAGCTGACATTGAGTGATTTGCAAAGAACAGAGAATTATTTCATATGGTTCTAAAGATTGTGATTGCAAAGGCTAAGGCCAAAAAGCCTGCCTCTAGCAAGGGCCTTCTTATGCTATCCCATGGCAAGAGGCACACAAATACGAGTGTCAGAAAACAAGAAATCACACTTGGAAACTCAAGGCTTATGACTAGCACTAATCTCTTCATGAGTGCAGCACCTCATGGCCTAATCTCCTCTCAAAGGTCCCAGCTCTTCAAATTTTTGCACTGTAAATTACATTGCTAACACATGCTTTTGAGGTACAACAAAACATGAGCATCCAAAGTCTCTCCTTATTCCTTTCATTAGCCCACTCTCCTATTCTGATGCTGATCAACACTTAGAAAACTTTTTGCCAAAATTTACCACTTCCTTGAAAGGTATGAAAATCATCCAAGATTATCTCAGACTCTAAAGATCCCAAGAGTTCTGCACAGTTATTTCCAATATAGTGTTTCCCCTATTAAATATATGGGTACAGAAATAATTTAGATTTTTTTTATTTTTCAGGTTGCATATACTTAATAAGATATCTTGGGGGTGGGTCCAGTGTCTAAACAAAAAATTCACTTATATTTCTTGTACACCATATATATAGGTAATTTTATACAATATGTTCAGTAATTCTTTGCATAAATTAAAGTTTCATGATGTGGAATTTTCTACCTGTAACACTGCATTTCAGATTTTGGAATTTCAGATTAGAGATATTCAATCTATACATGAAATACTCTCATATATAATTATGTATGGACTTTAAGATTAAAAAAAGCTACTATACTAAATTTTTACAAAAAGAAACCTACTACGATGTCAAACTACTGTCAAATTAATGATTTTTTTAAAATGTTATTATCCTTAGTACACAGGATGGATTACATGTGCACTCAAAATTCCAAGGAAAATGCTTCACCTATATTTAAATGCTAGAAAATATTTGCTACATTTGATATTAACAGGACAAATTTATATTTTCATCCATTCCAACCCTCAAAATCCATCTGAAAATGAAGGCTTACTTTTTTCTTCAAAGCAGTTTTGTAAGATTTCCAGCATGTTCTGGTTTTGGTTAGTATTAATGTCAGGTACCCTAATAAAAAAGAAAGAGAAAAATGTACCACATCATTTCTGCAAGATAATTCTGGAATTTATATTATTTATGTTCTGTTATTGATGTTGTCATCTACTTAAAAATTCTATATCTCACTACAGAATGTTAATAGGATAAACAGCTTTATTATGCAAACACAAAACATATAGTTCAGGGCTTAAGAGTTTCCACAGGTGAAAGGAAATATATCATTATCTACATAAACAATTATATCACAGATTTGAGCATCCATACCTAAAACTGGTTTAGACTACCGCTGTATCTCAGTAAGAACATAAACTTTTTAAAAATGTTTTTTTATGTTTGGTTGGTCCTGAATACCACCCCCTCTTTTAACAGTACCGGGATTCGAATCCAGGGCTTCATATATGTCAGACAAGAACTCTACCACTGAACTACACCCACAGCCCTTACACGCCTCTCTACTGAAGACTTTACATCTTCAGCTAACATATTCTTCCCTACAAGATCTCAAATGCAGTTTTGATTCAATATCACTAATTTTAATAGCAGTTTATTAATGAGTGCAAATTGTTTGCATTAAAAATTACATTGACTGTAATTCACATGCACTTATAAGGGTGCTACTGATATAGATGACCTGTTCATTCTCTCCAGGAGCTCTACATATACGGATGTCTATATGTGGATATATTTAGTTCCATCACATGCATCACATTTGTAGGCTCAGATATCACAAGAGCCTACATAGATAATGAACAGTTTGATCAGCATAAAGATCTCTCTACTGCCTTTTAATAGGATATATTCACCTCCCTCTAACTCCTTCTTGCCTTCCCCACTCTTCATTCCTAACTTCTGACATCCAGTAATCTGTCCTCCATTTCTAAAGTTCTATCATTTGAAAAAAATTATACATAAATGGAATCACATAATACATAATATTTTGCACTGACTGTTTTCACTTAACATAATTCTCTAGAGTCATCAATGTCATTGCATGTATCTATAGTTCATTCCTATTTACTGAATAGTGTTCTGTGCTAGGTACATAGCATAAGATTTAAACACCTGCTGAAGGACAGGAATTTCAATCACAATAAAATTCTGACATGCACTCCTAACAGGGATGGGAAATTTTTGCTGAAAGGGCTGTATAGTAAATTCTTTATAGCTGCATACCATCCAGTCTGTCACAACTACTCAACTCTGACATTCTAACTCAAAAGAAACTACAGATAGTATGTAAGCAAATGGGTATGACTATGTTCCAAACAAAATGGGTGTGGCTATGTTCTGAAACAAAAGCTGCCATAGAATTTGTTACCAGTCTGTGGGTTATAGTTTACTAACCCCTCATCTACAACTCTATTATTCTTTAGTTATAAAAGTAATATCTATCTATCTATCTAGATAGATAGATAGTTATAGATATATATAAAGTACTTCAAAATGTGAGCCACAAAGCATTAAAAGGTCAACCATTACAGGATTTTGTAACTGAAGTACTTCAGAAATCACCAACAATTATCATGTAAATAGCAACATAAAATTATCTGTGGAGCTTTGCAGAAACACAAATAATTTGTCTTTCCCCCACAGACCAAATGGATCATATTTTCTAGGGTGATTTTGCTACACAAATCTGGTTAAAAACCACTAAAGAACTTATCCCCTCATTTCCAGATAGGAAATTAAAATCCAGATAGGTCAAAGAACTAGCATAAATTAATAAACCTAATTATTATTAGTGGAAAAGTTTATATCGGAACATGTCACTATTATATATTCTGGTCTTAACACTACCCCCAGAATACCACATAGTTACATATTGCATACTACAAATACTGTACAGCCCTGCTATCCCTATTTTACAGATGAGACCCAGAGAGATCAAATGCCTTACTAGTGGTAATAATGCAGAGTCAATGTTAGAACACAGTAACATGGGCAAACAGGAATTCCAATCAGTAATGTATGGATATAATTTTCCGGCAGCAACCAAATGATTGAATAAAGTCTCTTCTAATTTGTATAGGGAAAAAATAATTTATAGTCACCAAATCCTACAGTTTTTGAAAATTTTTCTCCACTTCATCTCTTTCCTTTTTCACTAGCTCCTTAGCATACAAGCACTCCCCACCCTACCTAGATTACAACCCCTGATTAAACTACTCTACAAATATCAAGCCACTCCCCTCTGCTTCATAAAATGTGTATACGTGTGCAAGCATGTAGGTATTTACATCTGGTAAGCCAAATTCCAGAGGACTTTAAATAGCTTTGTCAAGCTTATACTAGATGCTTGAAGACTCACACATTTCTGCATCTGCCCTACTCACTAATCTTGTTTTCTACTTCTATCCAACATATTCATTCTTTCAAGTCTGCTAACAACTATAATATAAGGAACTACTTTAGTTCTTTTGGTTCCAACACTTTCCATATCTGGAATGGACTTTACCTTGTTCTTTATGTATCTATAACATTCACCTAACTAATACTTCAACTTTAAGCTGTTCCTTAGTAGCAATAACAAACAAGTCCCTTAAGTTCTTATGTGGCTATCTATACTATAAGTGAATGCTGTTATTTTATGACTATTAAATATTTAATTACAAAATTTAGATATACACATTTTACAAGTAAAAATAGCCAAATGACCCAATAAGCACCCAGCAAATGCATGACAGCATGTATTTTTTTATTTTCTCCCTAGTGAAATAAGCTATATCTTTCTGAAATTACCATTCTACCTATTCTACAGTACACTTTCCCACTGTCAATCACTTAGAACTGAGAGTCTTAAATTGAGAGTCCTTCTATTCCACCACTTAATCAAGTGAATTTCTCTTCTCACTGACACTAAGTCAATACTGTTTGTATTAACATTTCTCTTAGTATAACATAATTAACTATACTTAGTGAACACAGAAATAGTTATTTAACTCAGCGGTAGTAATTTTTGCTTTCTTCACTTAAAAATTCACTTGCTGTAGATGAAAATAAAAGTTACCTGGAAGGTCGGCAAAATCTTCTTCGGTAGTCATTTTTGAGATGATCCTGAAAAATATTAAACATTTCTTTAAAATATAATGAAATATGATAGAGTCATTCATAGGAAAACGGATGCATATTGAGGAGATACTCTTAAGTGAAATAAATAGGACACGAGTGTAAATACCGCAAAGTTTCTCTGGTGTGAAAAACTATAATGGTACATAAGATCCTAATGGTATAATTGACAATATGAAGTAGGAAGAAAAGAGCTAAAGCTGTAGGCAAAGTGGGAAAGGTAGGGGAAAGGAAACAAGTGAAAAGAAAAAAAAATGAGAAAATGAAAAAATGGAAATAAAGTATTTGTAAATAGGGAAGGGAGGAGGGGGTAAAGGGAGGGGAGAGGTAAGGGGAAAAAATGAGAACCAAGACCTGTCATGCCTTTAAAGGTACAAGATCCCAATGATGGATGTAACTGTACTGTATACCTAAAATGTACCAATGAACTGAACGAGAAAAAAAAAAAAAAATATATATATATATAATCAAATATAACTTATTTCCAATGTAATTTCATTCTAACATGGGAATGGCAAACTTTTATTTCTTCATTAAGCAAGTATCTGTTAATCACCCACTCTTATAAGAGTTCTGAATCAAGTGAAAGAGAAATGTGCCTCACATCTACTATTTCCAAACCTTTCTTGTACTACTCTACTCAAGTTGATTTCATATTATTCCTCCTCTTGCCTTACCTACCACTGTACTTTTCCATCACCAAAATTCAACTATCTGAGCTCCCAATCATCCAAGATGGTTAACTAACAAACTCTTACATCCCTTCCACACAGAAATACTGCACTAAAATAATCATAAAGAACAAACACAATATAAAACAATAATGAAAAAAAGAAAAATGAAGAGAAAACCATAAGTGAACAAATGTAACAAATTTCCAGAAGATGGAAAAGAGATGAAGAGTAATAAATGAAGAAACAGAATGAAAGTAGTAGCAGTCTAACAAAAGCTCAGAGGCTGAGCTAGGGATTTAGCTCAGTGGTTCCACCGCCTGCCCTGCAAGCACAAGGACCTGAGTTCAATCCCCTTACCAAAAAAAAAAAGAAGCTCAGAGGCAATTCCACAATGAGGCTTTAGATAACTCATCTTCCAGGAGAAACCATGAAGATGCAGAACTTAGAAACGCAAGATCTAAAGAGGGTAAAAAGTGAAATAAGAGTAAAACCTACAGAACAGTAGACTCATGCGTATCCTACTCTTACAAATAAAGACCTCACACTTATTGTTTATTGTCTCCATTTCCAATACGACCAATATCTGGGCAATCACCCAACATTTAAATTTCTAAAACCAAAGATAAAAATCAAGATATGGAGCTCACTGCTTCCCCACCTCCAGCACCCTGGGCCTTCATCAGTGAGGACTGCCCAGCCAGCCATGCGGGCACCTCTGCAGCATCCCCCGTTCCCTGCTCTCAGGTCTCCTGGTTGTGCCAGTACCTGGATCCAAACTGCAGAGGTACAGGTGGTCATAAAGGCCATTTTACTGAGCTCCAGAAGACAGAACAGAAGTGAACAACTGCAATAAAGGCACATCAGTTCTCTGTAGTTGATAAGTTGGAGGGATCACCACCTTCCATCAGAACAGACTATCTGCATGGGAAGGGCAACTGGAACCTGCAGTGGAACCTTGCAGAATTCAACCCTGCAGGAGATGAGGGAGCTCAACTTGGGCCTTGAAGCCAGAAATCTAGCCTGAATCTCAGGGTTCTGCCATTGCCTAGCTGAGACTAACTGACTTAGTTCTGAACAATGCTGCCCACATTTTCTATGGTGACAGCAGAGATATACCCTGAAAAAGGCTCTTCAATTTTTCTTTCTTTTCCTCTTATTTTTAATTTTTACTTTTTGTATTTAAAATTTTATTTTTTCCCATTCTGCAAATTCTTCCTTCTTTCTTCTTTTTCCCTCTCAGTCTCTTGCTCTCCCATGTTATTCTTCATCTCCCTTTTGCTCCTATTCCTGCCCTAATTCAGATTTCTTCTTTCAGTTTCTTTTCTTCTCACTTCTTCCTTCACTAGAATGTCCTTAGTCTCAAGGGAAAGTGAGTACAATTTACAGCTTCCCTATTAATGTTAAGTTGTTCTATTCTTATCTTTATTCTTGCACTCTTTCCCGCTTGTCTTCAACAGTTTCCTAGAGTTTGTGTGATTATCCTGTGTCCTCTGGCTTCACTTGAAACCTTCTCCTGTTCTTTTACCTATCTATTCCTCTCCTCCCAGTTCCTTCTAAGTCCCCATCCTGACAGGTAAAGTTGCTATATTGAAGAATTTATTCACTATAAACATATTTTGGGCTGGTCCTCAATTTTGATTTAATTCACATGGTTAAAGGTCATAGATCAATAACTACTACAAATGGTCAATTTCTAAGCTGTATTTGATGCTACTGTGTTGCTGATTGTATCAACTGGGCTAAAGAGATGTGACTGATTTAATGAGATGTCCTTTCTAATATTATGAAAATGAGAATGTCTCTGAGTCATTAGCTATATTAGAAGATCAAAGTACTAACCCAGGAATTAAACCACGGACAGCCCAACAACAAAAATAAAAATGAGAAAACACTTAAGCAAGGCACAAATACAGATTTCCAGTTCATCGATGGCAAATTCTAAGGGAAGCAAGGTGGAAAAGTCTTGACAATCAACCACCAGGACACCATGAACTCATAGCCTAGAAATAGTCTAGAAAAAGACTGGCAGAAAGGATTAAGAAGCAAAATCCAACAATATATTGTATACAAGAAACATACCTAGTTCAAAAAGAAACTCATAGACTGAAAGTGAAAGGATAGAAAACAGTTCTCCATGCAACAGGAGTCCAGAAAAAAGTAGGGGTAGCTATCTTATTTGCGGACAAAGTAAATTTCAAGCCAAAACTGATTAAGAGAGACAGACATCTTGACAATCCAAGCGGAAAAGATAAGAATCATAAATATATATATGCACCAAATATTAATGCCCCAACTATATAAAACAAATAGTAAGGGACATGAAAACCAAATGAGCACTAATACAATTGTAGCAGGGGATCTAAATACCCCACTATCATAAATAGACAGATCATCTGGACAAAAAATTAACAACGAAATACTAGAACTAAACAAAGCTTTTGAACAAATGAACTTAATAGTTGTCTGCAGAGTGTTCCACCCCACAAAATTGGAATACACATTCTTTTCAGCTGCACATGGGTCATTCTCCAAAAGAGACCACATACTAATAGAACATGTTTACATAAATGCAAAGAAACTGAAGTTAACCCATATATATATATTATCAGACTACAGTACAATTAAGGAGATCAATAGCAAAAGAAACCATACAAACTTCACAAACACATGGAAATTGAACAACACTCTCCTGAACTATCAATAGGTCACAGAGGAAATTAGTCAGTTTTTACAAATAAATGATAACGCCAATACAACAACATACAGGAATCTATGGGACACAATGAAAGCAGTTCTATGCGGAAAATTCATAGCAGTGAATGCCACACTAGGAAAACAGAGCGTGTTCAAATAAACAACCTAATGATGAATCTTAGGCTCCTAGAAAAAGAAGAACAAGAAAAACACAAAGCTCGTACAGGGAGGATATTATAAAGATCAGAGCAGAGCCAGGGATTTAGCTCAGTGGTTCCGGCCACTGCTTCACAAGCACAAGGACCTGAGTTCAATCCCCGGTACTTAAAAAAAAGATCAGAGCAGAAATCAATGCAATGGAAACTGATGAAAAAAAAAAAAAAAAAAAAAAAAATCAATTAATCAAAGAGTTGGTTTATCTAAATAAATAAAATCGATAAACCTTTAGTCAACCTTGTCAAAAAAGGAAAAAGGCTCAGATCCACGCAATCAGGAACAAAAAAGGTGAAGTCACAACAGATCCAGCAGAAATCCAGAAGATCATCAATACCTACTTCAAGAACCTGAACTCTAATCAAATGGAAAACACAGAAGAAATGGACAGATTTCTTGATGCTTATGAACTACCAAATTTGAACGAAGATAAAAAAATTCTAAACACCCCAATTACCATCAGTGAAATTGAAAATTAAGTTTACCAACTAAGAAAAGCCCAGGTCCTGATGGCTTCACTGCTGAATTCTACAAGCCATTTAGAGAAGAACTACTGCAACTACTCTTTAAACTTTTCAATGAAACTGAAAGTGAAGCAATACTTCCAAATTCATTCCTGGAAGCAAGTGTTACTCTGATTCCCAAACCAGGGAAAGACCCAACCAAAAAGAGAGAACTACAGGGCAATCTCCCTAATGAACATAGATGTAAAAATACCCAATAAGATACTGGCAAAAAGAATACAGAGGGTCATCAAGATCATACAGCCTGACCAAGACAGATTTATCCCAGGGAAGAAAGGGTGGCTCGATATACGTAGATCAATAAATGTAATACACTATATTAACAGAGTAAAGGACAAAAATCACATGATCATCTCAATAGATGCAGAAAAAGCATTCAACAAAATTCAACACCCATTCATGATAAAAATCCTGCAAAAAATTGGAATAGATGGTCTCTATCTTAATTTGATAAAGGCTATCTATGAAAAACCAACAGCCAATGTCATACTAAATGGTCAAAAACTAAAAACTTTCATGCTAAAATTAGGAACAAAACAAGGATGTCCACTGTCACCACTTCAGATAAATATAATTTTGGAAACATTAGCCACAGCAATTAGACAAGAGAAAGAAATAAAAGCAATAAAAATAGGAAAGGAAGAAGTTAAACTGTCATTATTTGTCAATGATATGATACTATATACATAGAAGACCCAAAAAACTCTGCCAAAAGACTTCTAGACTTAACTGACAGATTCAGTAGAGTAGCTGGATACAAGGTCAACACTCAAAAATCAACAGCCTTCTTGTACACAAATAACAGCTCATTGAAAGTGAATTAGGGAAACAATCCCTTTCATAACAGCATCCAAAAAAATGAAATATCTCGGAATCAATCTAACAAAGGAAACAAAAGACCTCTACACTAAAACTACAACACTCTGAAAAAAGAGAATGAAGAGGATATAAGGAAATGGAAAGACATCCTTTGTTCCTCAGTAGGAAGAATCAAGATAGTGAAAATGGCCATACTTCCAAAACTGCTATATATATTGAACACGATACCTATTGAAATCCTAACTATATTTCACAAAACTAGAGAAAATAATACAAAATTTCATTTGGAATCAGAAGAGACCCAGAATAGCAAAAGCAATTCTAAGCAACAGAGACATGGCAGGGGTTATCACAATCCCCAACTTAAAACTATTCTATAAAGCCACTGTGATAAAAGCAGCATGGTACTGGCAAAGAAACAGACCCTAGGATCAGTGGAATAGATTAAGAAGATGCAGAAACAGCTCCTGACATACTCAGCTGCCTCATCTTTGACAAAGGAGCCAACCATCCTCACTGGAGGAAAGATAGCCTCTTTAATAAGTGGTGTTGGAAAAACTGGCTTTCAACTTGTCAAAGATGAAAACTAAGAGGAAGTGGGAAGGGGAGGGGAAAGGAAATAAGGGAAAAGAAAAAAAATATGAAAAAAGGAAAAAATGGAAACAAAGTCTTTGTAAATAGGGGAGGTAGGAGGGGGTGAAGGGAGGGGATGGGTATTGGGAAAAAATGTGAACCAGTATCTGTCATATAAAGGTACAAGATCCCAATGATGAATGTAACTGTACTGTATACTTTAAAAGTACCAATAAACTCAATTAAAAAAAGAAAGTGAACATATAATTTTTTAAATGAACAAGAAATAACCCAAACAAAAACTAACGTCAAGGGTGGAAAAGAAGAAAATCTCAAAAATAAGAAAGCTATTATGTTCAAGAGATCTCTGAACTACTAGACACATAAAACTAAAGTGGTATAGTATCTACACTGAACAGAGATCAAGAAAAACATAATCTTCTAAAATTGAAATATTGTAATATCGTAATTAAGATAAAGGTGAGGCTGTTTCTAAATAAAAAAGAAAAGAGAAAAAATGAAAAATTAAGAGAGTAAGATGAGTAAAATACAACCCATCAAGAGCTCCAACCTCTGACCACTTATTCCAGACAAAACAAAGAGGATATATATATAT